GTGAATGGCCTTTGATCCTTTCTGGGGTGGATAAACAAGCACCAACTACAAACAGCAGCTGTGCCACTCGTGGCTGCTCCTCAGGCCCCCGTGTGTCAGACCTGCTCTGGGAAGTCTCCAGGAAGAAAAGCAGAAGCACTTCTGTCCTGGGCTGGACTGACAAGGGAGGTGCTGAAGCATGAGGGATCCTTTCTCTTCAAACTGCCCAGAATTTATGGGGATGAGTGAGGCCATGGAGAGTCCTTTAAGCCTCCTTTCTCATTTCAGTGATTAAAAATAGATTACTTGAAACCAGACAGTCCATTGCAGGGAGGACTCCTCATCTCTGAATAGCTACTTCCTGCCCAATGTCTGCAGCTTTGAACCCTGGGAGGGTTCAAAACCAGGCTAAGTCCCCTGCTTTTCACAAGGCTGAAACCAAACAGTGTTAAACTGCAAAGCCATTTATTAGAAAAATTTTTAAAATATGATCTTGTCCTCTCAGTGCCAGCCACAGATTCTTTCAAGAGCATTGGTGAATCTTTTTGTGGATCCAAATAACATTTCATCACGCCCTTGCTGCAATTCTAATGTTATAAGGAGATACTGGAGTTATCCTTAGGCATTTTCTCTTGCAGGCACCTGTTTCTACCTTAATGAGGACACAGCCCATCCTTTACTGGCAATTCTAGATGATGGATTTACCATTTCATGTGATGAACTGGAAAACCCAGAGTGTGATCTGCCTGTCTATGATAACAGCTTTACAAGGTATACAGGGGCATTTCAGTTTCTTTGGTTCTTTTAACAGATGCCAGGAAATATCTAATGGAGCTTTCAGCAGCTCTGATTAATTTTTTGAGTTGAAATCTCTCTCTCCAGCTGCTCTTTGGAACTTGGAAATTAATGCAAGTTCTTAAATAGGATTACAGATACAGCAGCCACAATTATGTACAAGCCTGCTTACATGTCTGGCATACTGAGCTAAATTTGAACAGATATTTAGGTGCCATAACAGATGCTAAGGAAAGGAGAGGGATCTGAAAACTTACCTCTTGCTGAAAGATAGAACTGATACTATTTGGACCAACAGGTATTACTTGCAAAAAATAATTAGGCCTTTTGCCATTGAAGTGAGAGGCTAAGCTTGCCAAAATGCGTATTTCCAGTCAAAACCACAGAAACACCATATAACCAGGACAGACATTGCAGGGTAATACAAGTCTACAATTTATTCCCTCCATGGAAATGCAGTGCTACTAGAGGGCTTGGTAGAAAAGAGTTGGGAGACTGCTGATCCTTTTCATTAAAGCCATCATGGTAACCTTAAATGGGATTTCATCCCACTTCTATGGCATGCTTTTATGTTTCATGTAAACAGCCAGAACTGACATTCATCTCATTCAAAGGCTGAGGTTTTGGTACCACTATGAACTTTCACAAATCTCCTTCAAACCAAGATACTTATTTATGAAGTTTGTGTGGTCTCCTAAATTTGGGTGGCTGATGTATTTCCTAACTGCTTCTTCAGTGCAGCTCGGGTTTGCCTTGGTGGCTTTGCAGCTCTCATTACTATGGTCATGTTTTGTTCACAGATGTTTACCCATCCATTTTGCATCATTCTTTTTCCTTCTCAAGCTGCAGCAACACAGTCCCTCTGAGGTCTGATTTCAGCAGCCTTTAAGTTGTTCCCAAGACATTTACATGCACTTGCAATGAACTGTACACTTGCTCTGAGCAAGTGCAGCTGCAGAAGCAGAGTACAGCTATTGTGCTGTGCGTGCCCATCCTCACACCACAGGCCCTCCAAATGATGAGTGCAGCTCCCTCTCAGCATTGCCTAGAAGAGCTCAGTGTCTGCCAGCAACATCCTTTTCCTTTGTAACTTACAACTTGAGACACTACCATAGGAACATCAAAGTTGTGTGTGTTTGAAACCTGCTGTCCCCCTTGACAATGACAGCTAATACACCACATACTTTTCCTAAGAAAAAGCTGAGGTGTAAGCTTACAGAACTCATGTTGCTCTCCTAAGAGTGTTTCAGAAGCATTTGGAGTGGGTTATTTTGCCCAATTTTCTTGCTTTAGAACCTGTGTTTTTGCAGACTTGCATCTTCAAAGCACCCAGTTCCTTTGATTTCAGGACTGTGCCAGTAAATCAAGCTGAAGGGTCTCTCTGTAATTCATTATCTTTGTCTCTACTACACAACTTTCAAAAGACTTATTTTCTGCATGGTTCCTATCATACATTTCCTGGCCCAGGTACCCAGTATATTACAAGTTCTCCTACCGTGTTCAATTCTTGCTAATCTCTCCAAACACAGAGGGAACCAGTGTAGACAGGTTCCCTCTTCCCCAGCTGCCCCAGGAACTTCATGCTGTTACAGTGCTCATTTCCTAATGGTGAGTGATGTCCAAAACTCTGGGCTGTTTGGAAAGAAAATGCAAAATCTGTACTTTTTTTCCCCTGCTGTGCTGGGGTTCACTAGAGCACTCTCTGCTAACAAGCATTAACTTTCCCAGAAAACGCAGGCACTATGGGTTGCTGTCCTCCATCTTCCTGGAAGTGCCTAGGGCACTCATTTATACAAAGCTACCCACAAGTAAAAACAGGGCAGGTGTCACAAAGAAACCTGCAGGCTGGGTGTCAGCTCCTCAGTGCGGGAATTTCACTGGAGTCAAAAATCCACACTGCACTGCTAAGGTGACAGCAGAAGTGGCTTTTGTTTATTGCTATGTAAAGTCCAGGTATAGACATACCTGAACATATCTAAACACTGTGAAGAGCATTAAAGAGAGGCCCTGCCAAAACACATATTCCTGTTTCCCACAGATGTATTGCCATCCTGGGCAGTCTGATCCCATTTCCAGGAAAGCATTACTGGGAGGTGGAAGTTGAGGAAGATACAGAGTACAGAATTGGTGTGGCTTTTGAGAACACTCCAAGACATGGTCACCTGGGGGCAAACAACTCATCCTGGTGCATGAGGCACATCATCACACCCTCAAGGTAAGGGCTGTGGAGGCTGCAGGTCTCCAACAGGAACAACTCTTACACCTGCAGGCAGGGCAGCAGAGAAGGCAGATTTTGGATCAGCTCAGACCAGGCACTGGGGCCTCTGACATTCCACCACTGTCCCTGTAAACTGGTGTTGGAAGGATACTGCTTAAGCAAATCCTCCTGCTTTTTTAGGGTGTTTCAGAAGCATTTGGCATGGGTTATTTTGCCCAACTTCCTTGCTTCAGAACTTGTGTTGTGGCAGATTTGCATCTTCAAAGCACCCATTTCTGTTGACTGTGAGGGTGCTAGTGAATCAAACTGAAGGGTCCATGGTACATTGTCTCATTGAAACGAGACATTGTCACATTGAAACAAGAAATTGCAGGAACAAAGCTGAATAAAATCAGAGTTGCAGAATTTAGCTGTAAACATTACCGAAACCTCAGTGAGGAGACAGAGTGTAATAGATCTGTGTAATCCAAAAACTACTTGTAATCCAAAAACTACGTATCTGGCTAAACCCAGCTATACCCAACTGGTTTTGATCTCCGTCCTACCTATGGCAGTATGTCACACCTGCCTGCAGAAATGCCAGCTCCCCTCTTGCCTCAGCTGCACTGCTGGCTCTCCCCTGGACATGGTACATTAACACCACTGCCTTTGACTCTCATGAGCAACCTGGGCACCTGTGTGCACAAAGTGCTTCCCTTTGAGAGCCAGGGTGCCTTCAGCTCTTTTGTTTTTCTTGCCTGCAGGCACAAGTATGAATTCCTGCACAGTGGGATGACACCTGACATCAGAATTACTGTTCCCCCCAGAAGGATTGGCATCCTGCTGGACTATGAGAACTGCAGACTGTCATTTTTCAATGCAGATATTGCCCAGCACCTTCACACATTCAACTCACACTTCCAGCATTATGTCCACCCCTGCTTTGCACTGGAAACACCTGGTATCTTAAGGATACATACTGGAATTACAACACCCCCGTGGACTGCCCTGCCATAACCTGTGTTCTGCAGCTGCCACACCCATGTGTAACCTGCCCTGAGCAATGCCCTCTTCCAGCATTAACTGCACCATCATACTCCCTGTGAACCAGCTGTTTCCCCCTAGTAAGAGCAAAGTGACCCTGACCCAGACCACCTGCCAAGCCTGAGTCCTTAGTTTACATCCTCTTGGGAAGGATCTTAGAAAAAGCCACTGTGGTCACAAGATCCATCAGCATCCCAGAATTCTCATTAGAAATGGACACCTTCCTTCTCAGAGGTGACACTGTCACCACACAGCAGTGGCAGCTGGATCACAGATTCCCCCAACAGCCACCTGAAGCCTAGGGAACTCCCCAGTTCTGAAGAATTGTTAATTCTACTTCTGAATCTACTCAAAAGCTAAAAATTTAAAAGAAAAACAAAAATAGCAGAAGGCATAATCACTGCACAGCTGCTGGAGCTGCAAACACTCCAGCCATGAAGCTGATCTCCCAATCAAGTGTTCTTGTTGCTACATGAAGTCTGTGACTCACGATAATCAAGTATGCCTCCCCTGTGTGTGAACTGTTAGTGCCTACATACCAAGTGAGGCTTTCTGGAATACCCAAGCCTGCACTCTCAAATTTAAGCCATTTTACAGAATGCTTCTTTCATTCACCCAGGGAAAAAAATATAGGCTTTTTGCAGTGCTTGATTGTCCTTATAGAAAAACAAGCAATATTTTTAGCTGCTTCTTTTTAGCTATGCTCACCTCCACTTGGGTGTACCCTCCCTCCACACTCACAGATCTGTTCTCCCCCTCAGCATGGAAGAATTCCACTCCATGCTGTGCCCTAGAAGCTGTGGATGTCCAGTGAGGCTGGAAGGACTCTGGCCCAGCACACAGCTGAGACATCCTTGTTTGGGTTTCATTTCCAGACACCAATCAAGACAGGCCCTGCCTGTCAAGCAGGCTTGGCCAGCTCTGAACAACCTCATCCATGTATGTCAAAACTACCTGAACTCAATCAAGAGTCATTAACAGAGAAGCTTTTCCAGAGATTTATTGCACATTCTTTACAAAAATCATTGGTTCAAGTTTCCATTCTAGGGAATCACCAGGAACAAGCAGTGGCCTCTACAATATGCAGGGTCTCTACAAATAAATGCCGTTGGCAAAACTGAAGAGATTTTACATAGAACTGTGTGTCAAAAGCTTGTCTCTTCTTTCTCAAATAGCTTTTAAAAAGTCTTGCCAAAACAAGCCTTCAGAAACCACAAAAACAGGAGCTCAGTATGTCCCTACAGCAGCGATCAGTACCAGCTGCTCTTGGATATCTGTTACAAAAGCCGCAGAAGATGGGTTTAGCAACACTGAGCTATACCAGCACAGCATCACTTCTTAACCTACCCGGAATTAAGGTATTTTCAGGGCAGAAAAAGTTATGGTCACTTTGTCAGACCTGTTGTAAGCAGGCCAGAGACTTTCAGTTGCTTTGTCTGCCAGTGAGCAGAGCAGCTTGTGGCCATGTGTGCCCTGCTGATGCTGGCATGGCCATCCCAGGGAACAGCAGCTCTAGGGTACAGCTCCTGTGCAGGGGATGGAAGTGGTGAGATAGCACCATTGTTTGCTTAAAAATGTCCTCCTTGACTCTGGGTCCAACTTATACCCACTGTTTTACCCCTATCAGCCAAAAACTGAGAGCCCCACTCTTAATTTCAAGTAGATACCTGAAAGAGCATAACACACAGGTATCAGAACAGAGGTATGAGAACATCTGAACTTCCCAACAGAGTCTCTAATGCACAAATGCTGCTGCTGAACCCATGATTCTACTACCCACCATCAGCTTTCACCTTAAGTGCTCAAACCATAGCTGTGACCTGGCAAAATACTTTCCAGTTGGTGAACTGAACAGTCAAGTCCCCAGGACTTCACAACCCTCTTGCTGGCTGTGCAAGGGCAGATTTTCTGAGCCAAATTTGAGGTGCTCAGACTCTTGCAGTGGGACTCCACAGGTACCAAACAGCCCTGATGTTATGCTGCCAGTGGCTGAGTACAGAGCAGTCTGCTCAGGAGAATGGCCCCATGGTCATCACCAGGCATGGCACAGGACTGCTAAGGCAGTGGCAGAACTATCTGAAAGAAAGAAAAAAATGCAGTAATTGGCTTCTAAGTTAAAAACAGTACGGGAAACGAGTTTGTATGTTTCTGTTTAATAAAAGCTTCACCTGTTGCCACTAGGCCAAACTAGCCTTGGTTTCATCCCTTCAGAATCCAGACCCCATCACTTAAATATTTATACAGCAAAGGAAACTTGATAATGTGTGTTTCTTAGAACCAGCTGTTGCTCTGAACAATCTCTATATAAATCCTTTACAGGGAGGCCACCACTTCCACTACAAAGGTCTACTAAGCTGTAAGTTTATACCAACCCTACATGTCTCTGTATTCAGTTTACTCATCAGTTCTATTCAGTTTATTGAAACTCTGGGTACAGCACTCAACTTGGACAACTGTGATGATCTGAGATCTATTTCTCTGCGTTGAAAGGTATCTCAGATGAGGCAAAACCAGTTCTTATCTCTGGCCTGTATACAGGAACTCCGGCTGAACTACATCAAGTGGTAGGGCTACAGTCAGTTAAAAAGGAGTTGTCCTTGTCTCTAATGTTATGTGCTGCAAGCTGCATTTTTCCTGGTATCTGTTGGGTCTTTTTCTTCCTTGTTCATTTTCCCTTTGGGAATTTACTGGCACACAGTAAAATCCATCCTCTGCAAAGTACAGAAGCTCATGCCTAATGCTGTGGTTTTGGCCAGCTGAAGCCCACAGGCAGTCCTCATGTGCAGCAGTGATCCATGCATCCCTGCAGGACTTGCAGCACCAGGAACTGCCAAAGGACAGGACACCTCCAACCATCCTCCCCCAGAAGCTAACTGGGGACTTTGGCAGGGCTGCCCAAACCCCTTCAGGCCAGAAGGATCCCTTTCCCTAACTCCCTGTGATTTCAAATTCACATTATTGCCACTGGAGGGCATCACGTGAAGCCCTTTCAGAAGACCACACTGGTCTCACACAGGTTTCTGAGGCTGAAAACAGTTTTCAAACCGGTTACCGTAATCCAAGGCATGTCCAGTGTCCCTCCTCACCCAGTGCTGGAGCCGGGAACAAAGGGCCTGTGAGCAATTAAACAGGTGACACATGTCAAAGGCACAAATACAAGAGACAATGCAACAGCCCTGGAATATATTTAATGTAGATTTAAAACAAACACATCCAACCTTTTACTACAGAAACACATGAATTTTAACTTGGTCTCTCTCGCTGCCATTAAAACATTGTAGGTAGATCAAGTAGGTCCTGACTTTTATCTCACAGGCAGGCCTTGTTCTCCCACCATTTAATTTAGGAGGATAGTATCAGTGGAGCCAATATAGTGCCACTGACTCCACTTTCTTAGTCCTCCAGATGAATCTCCAGAAGAAACTCCTGAAAAGTCTCAGAACAGACTGAACCCTCCTAAAGTAGACAGCAGAGGCTCACCACTCAGCCAGGAAGGCAATTCCCTGTTCTAGTCTTCAAACTCGGTTGAATCTTTTTACTGCCCACCTGCTTCCCAACATTAACCAGCATCACTCATTAGCAGCACACAGCAAAGCAACCAGGGACTGCGCAAAGGTGAGACTCTGCTTCCCCTTCAGACCCTACTGCAGTCCTGGGCCAGTCCAAAACACAACACCGCCTTTTTATTGAATTTTCTCTCCATTGCGTTTATGGTGGTGTGCTCGGTTGCCAATATATACTGGGACTCAGCTGTCCCAGCCCACCTAACTTAAACCTTTTCTAAACAGGCTTATTTTTCAAGCTTTAGTTGCTCTGATGGAAGCGATACTGAGACATAAACTGCTTCACAAAATGGCTGTAAGGGGCTGCGCCCTCTGCCAAAAGGGTGCTCATCCCACAGCTGGAGCTAAATAAAACCCAGACGCAAAGCTGGGCTTAAACACTCCCGAAAGGCTGCAGCAGTGGGTCCCGGGCTACCTCACTAAACCACCACCACGAGCAGCCCCTCCCGGCGGCAGCGGGCCCGGCGGGCAGCGCTTACCTGGGCCCCGGGCGGGAGCGCCTCCGCACGGGCCCCGCGCCGCCGTGGCCCGGGGCTCCCGGCGGGACGCGCATCACGGCGGCAGCCCCCGCAAGGGACACGGGGCTCGCAGCCCGGGCCTCGGCGCCGCCGCGGGGGAGCCGCTCCGGCCGCACGGCGACGGGGCCTTTCCGTGTGCGAGCGAGCGCGTGAGGCCGTGCCCGAGCTCCGCCACTCTTCCGCTGCCGGCCGGCCGCCCCCGCGGGAGGAGCAGGGCCGGTGCCGCGCCGCCATGAGCTCCTCACCTCCCCTCGTGGCACCGCCATTTCCCGGGGCGGGCGCGGCTCGGCCAGTCCTGACAGAGGGCGGGGAGAGGGCGGGCGCTGCCTACCTGCCTTACTTCCTTCCTTCCTCTCCTTCTTCCCTTCCCTGCCTGTGCAGGGACAGCGCCTCAGACGGCCAGAGAGAGCTCGAGGTTCCCCCCTGGAGTGGGCGCTGTATTCCCGCAGCCCTGGCCTCACTAAGGCAGCCTTTTCCCAACACATTACGGACCAAGCCGAGCTCACCACGCTCGGCACCCACTTGAGCCCTACCTGCCTTCGGCTGGGCCATGGAGCGGCTTCCCCAGTGATGCCTCCATCCACACAGAGCTGAATTGTTGCCTGCAGCAGCCACCATCCTGCAGCGCCTGCTGTGGTTGTCCACCTCCATTCCTTCCCATAGTATGTGCTTGATCCTGCAGACTGAAGCACGAGCACAACACCCGCTGCTAGCACAGCCCTGGCAAGGCTGAGGGAGAGCCGCCAGCTCTCGGCGGCTCCTGGGTCTCCACCAGCAGGATTGGGGCCGACAGAGCTGCTCTTTCTCACCCCTGAGGTGGGTGTTCCACAGCTCCCAAATCACCTGCACGGCGCCCTCATCCAGGCTGGGCTGGGCCGAAAGTAGCGTGTTAACTCCCTTGCCTTGGAGGTATTTTGTAGCCACTTGAACACTCAAGTTTTCTGTCAATCTCTAAACAAAATCCCTTTACTTCTCTCATATTGGAAAGTAAATCATCAGGTGATGCCTGGGGCCACCCCAGCACCTCCTGCCTTGTGCCTCTGTGCTGGGGTGAAAGCTGCAGCCAGGCTGCTGTAATACAATGATGTATTGTGCCTGTGCAGTGAGAGTCAGATATATTTCATGGTCTGTGTAATAAAATGCTTGTTGAAGTAAACATTTTGCCTCCCATATGTGGAAGCATGTAGTTTACAGTGAGGATTTATTAAGCCAAAAATTTCTGAGCATGCCCGAAGAGATGGCTTATACTGACATACAGGAAAGGATATTAAGAAGCAATCCGACTTCCTCACAGTCTGCCCAACAGAAAAAAATGCCTTTGTTTCTGGTGGAGAATTTAAAATTCAGCCTCATCATTGTTACAACCTGTTCTCTTGCTTTGTGTTTCTCTGTGCGCTAACCTTATAGTTCATATCTGGCTCTTAAAAGAGTTCAACAAAAAGGTCAAAGGAGAGACAAAAATATAAACACCTATATAAACAGCTGTTTAAATTTGAAACTGATGGTGATTTGGTTTTGTTTCTTTGGTGGTTTTTTTGTTTTTTTTTTTTTTTTTTTGGGGGGGTTTTTTTTTGGTTTTTTTTTTTTTTTTTTGTTGGTGGTGTTTTTTTGTGGTTTTGTTTTTGTTTTGCTGCAAATGGAAAAGGAGCCATTGGCTTTTGGGCCGTGCTGTCTCAGTCCCTGTGTGGAGTTTTGCACATTGCAAATATCTCACGACTGGGTGAGCACAGTGGCACAGCAGTGAGAGCAGGCCTGTGTGGGACTCTGGCTCTCTCTGCTTGCAGCATGAGAAGAAAATCTAAGCTCAGATCAGAAGAGGTGCATCTGATCAGAAGAGGTGAAGTAGGTCTGAACTTTGCTCAGTCACAGCACTGTGGCATTTCAGGTACACACTATTATAATGTGACCATATATTTGCAACCAGACTTAGGACAGATTTCCTTCAGAAAAGACAAAATAATCTAAGTGGATCCATGGGTAAGAAGTAACACTCATGAGGCAGATTATGAACAGAGCTAAGCCAATGGAAGTAAATATAACTTCACCAAATTCAATGCATTGGGAAGGACTTTTAAGTCCCAAAGTGGGGCTACTGGTAAGCAGATGGAAGAAATAAAACCCCAAATCCAAAGTCCCTTTTTTCAGACCACCTTGTACAAACACGATTGACTCTTGTTACAACAAAAGCAACACAAATATCACTTTGCTAATACCTACTGAGCTAGACTTAAACATGTCACTGATATTTACTTAACAAACATTGTTACATGTGTACTATGCTGTGGTTCAAAGAACACTTATTTATTTAGAACAGCTTATTTTAAAACAAGGCTTTGGGTTGTTTGGGGTTTTTTTGTTGTTGTTGTTGGGGTTTCTGTGTGGTTTTTGATGGACGATAGGTTGGTGTTTTGGCTTTTTTTTTTGTTCCTGGCATGATAGAGCAGCTAAAACTTTGTGCTTTCTGACCTTGCCTTGTCAGAGATCTGTCATAACCGAGTCTGCCAGCGTGCATTTTGAGGGGCTGGGAGAGGCTGCTCACTTTTAGGGCTTGGCTGTCAGGTGAGGAGTGCTTCACTCTGCTCTCACAATGTCCTGACGCCTGTCTGTACAGCAGCAATTGCAGTCTCTCCCTCATTAACCCCAAGAGCCGTGCCTGGTGTTACCCGCGTTCCCAGCGCAGTCCCCGAGGGCTGGCTGGGCGTCTCGCCTGCTCCTGAGCGCTCACGTTCGCTGTGTCCTTGCAGTCTGCCTTACTTACGGTAAGCAGAGTGTGAAACAGCCAGCACTGCCCAGCCTGGGGACACTGCTGGGACTGTGCCCGCCGATGGCATTCGGCTCTCCTGCGAGTCTCACCAAGCCTGGCACACAGCGGGGTGGGAGGACGAAGCTCCGGCTTCTCAGGAGCTCTGAGCGGTATCTCTGAAAAACACCAGAGACAAACCCTTATGAAAGCATCTGCTGTCTACCTTTCTCTTGCCATTTTTTGGCAGGATCCTCACCAGAGCCCTCAGCAGCAGCAGCCAGGCAGCACCGGGACTAGGCCAGGGTTTGCCATGGCATGGATGCCCACAAGCCCCTGTGCTTCCCTGCAGCTCATTTCACCCACCTGTGAAAGGGCTCGGCTTGTAAAGCTTAGGGATCTGTAAAGGAGAAATTTCACCTTCTGTGTTGAATAATATTACAAGCAAAGTAACTTTTGAGGTTTGGGGATTTTTTTTTAAGGCAAAAAGGGACAGCTGTTTCTGGAGGTAAAAAGCAGTATTTCTCACACATTTTACACTGCAAATACCAAGAAAATCTTATCAAATGTATTCCATTTTATCTTTAGGCTGAAGACAAAGCCATACCTCCTCCCCCGAGCTGGGGAGCTGCAGGATCACCAGGTTGACGTCATTCTCCTTGGTGATAAAACATGCTGCATGCTGAACTTGGCACTCAGCATGCTCAGGTTGAGCTAAGAGCTAATGTAATGAGCTCTGGGGAAGGATTTACATCAAATACCACTCTGGAATATTAAATCCAGACAAGACCAATTTCTCACTTGAATAATTACACTCTGGCTGAATTCCTCCTTTTGTTTCAAAGAGGAATCACCTTTCTCACTTCCTTTTGAAAATTGTATGCCTTGGTGCACTATTTCACTACCTATGTAATAAAAGGATGACGTGATTTCTCTTGAGTACCATGGGCTGAACTGAGTTTCAGCTCTAGCAATGACTCTTGCCACTCGACGGGGGGAGCAAGCAAACCAAGAAAAGGCAGATTCAAATTTCAACAAGTGTCCCCAGCTGCTTGTGCTTGCTAACATAAGTCAAAGACAGAGGTGCCTGGAACACACCTGACTTCACTTTGCATGTGGGAGTACAGCACCAAAGACCTTGCACACATATTCCCACTGCCCCAGCAGCACTGCAGTGCTCACAAGCTATTTCAGTTAACTGTGTTTGTATTCTTCTGCCTGTGGATACCAAGGTAAGGCTTTCAGCCATTATAAGATATTTCTCCAGGCTCATTTTGAGTCAGAAAGAAAAATATTTCCTTGTGGTAAAAGCTGTAGTAAGCAAGCAGCAAGAGTCAGTTTGAAAGGCAGGGTTTAGTCCCAGCATTACAGCTGTGTGTTTGAGGGAGATGTTCAGCCAGTGGAAGTTAAAGCAAAGACTCCTAGCAAATGAGCTAAGAAGAAAAATGGAAGAAGAGAAGCTGGAAGAGAGGGGGAAAAGTGGAACATGAGAAGACCAGAAGACTGTTTCCTGGCCTAACACTCACTGTTAAACCACAGGCAGGGCTCAAAGATCCAGGACTTCAAAGATGTTTAGAAGCCTCAAAGCTACTTTGCTTAGTGGCTCTGGGTTCCCTGGCCTTTCCTAACTCAGTTGCCTTGCTTGCATAAGAGGTAAGTGAAATTGCTTCACAGGGTTTGCAGAGCTGTGTCCACTGAGGTTTGCATGGGTAATGTTGGAGGAGAGTCTTAAAGATGTTAAACAAGTGGAAAAAAGGAAAACATGAGACACTTTGCCCAGTAACATTCAAAGCAGGCACCAAGAGAAAGCATTCAGTGGAGTTGAGCCACAGCCCTTTGCTCACAGAGCCAAAACTTCAGCAAAAACCATTTGAAACACCTGGACATCCCCTTTGTTCTGAACCAGGAGCACAGGGCTACACAGGGACACGGCAGCAATTTGGAAGCTTGTTTTCTGCATCCAAACATCATGTCAGGACAAACTGCACTCCATCCTGCTATCATTTAACAGCACCCCTGGGACCCCTGTACCTTGGAGGATGATGTCACACGTGAGCAGAGAGATTATTTGTTTTGAAGCTTGTGAATAGCTCTGAGACTTCATTTCAAAGCACTCCTTGCAGAGTCATGACTCAAACCCTTCTGGTCTCACTGAAGGGCACAACTGTACTGTCTGCCTGTGCTGTTTCTCAGCACCCAGCAAGTGATTATTAGATATCTATTATCCTTTCTTCTCTTTTATGCAGGAATACCTTTGCCATTGCTCAATTCCTTCATGTTCAAGACACATTTTTTAAATGTTTTATCAATGATTCCTCTACTGAGACAAGCAGAAACACCCAGACAAAAAGGCTCTGCAACAAAAAACAAGGCATTAATTCAATTTCAGGTGATTTTTAATTTATATATTAAATTATTTATATAGCCATTGGGTAAACTGCAGTATGAAAACCATCTTCAGACTTGTGATAAGGTAGCTGTGCATACCACCTGTCTGGTTTCTCCTTTTGTCAGAATAAGTAATTATTACTCCAAATTTTGTGCAAGGAAAAAAGACATTCATCTAGGACAATTTGCTGACAATCCAACATTTTTTTACCAGATCATAATAATTCAGATTCACTTGGAAGCATCTACAGTGATACCCAGGTTTAGAAGCAGGATTACCTGAGAGAAAATGTGCAGCATGGAAAATAGAGCCATTCATTCTGTCATTTAATGCTGAATTGTTGAACCTTATTAAGTTTTAAAACACAAAGCTTTTTACTAAAGCCCTGGAGGTGTATAAAGGTCCTCTCCTTCATCATTTCTACATTGGAATTTACTTTTGTATTAGCATTAAAGCACGAACAAATGAAAAGTGCAGACACTGCATAAGACTACCAGCCTAACTGAAATTTGGAACACTTCAGTCACACTCAGTTTATTCCAGTGTTCTCCCTTCCATGTGAAGGACCATCAGTAAAGCCATTTCTGTCCCCAGGAAGTTCCATCACTGAGTGACAGTTCAAAAAGCTGGAAAGGGTTCAGAGCACAGGGCATGTGATGTTGCTGTGTAATCTTGGAGAATAAAGGAAGGGGATCTGGAATGGCTGAAGCATTTGCAATGGGAGCCAAAGACAGCTGCATCCTGGAGCAAGGAAGCTCCACAGCATGGCCCTTCACTCTGCATGGGCAGCAGCCTGGAATCACCCCCATGGAATGGGCACAGCCCCACAGTGCACAGAAGGCTTCAGAGGTGTGCCTTGGAGAGAAGCTCAGTGGGAAGAAAGTAAAGATCAGGCATCATGGTTCCAGATTTTAATTATAATCTGTCCTTGGCAAATCTAGATGGACAGGAGAGTGAACAAAGCTGCAGTGGCCTGAAAATCAGTGTTTTATGTTAAGTGAAATTATTGTACACCAATATGGACATAAATCTGGCTTACAGAGAGGGTTAATTAGCACAGTTCTACAGTCCAAGTAATGGAAATAAAGATGCAGTGTGAATTTCAAGGAATTAATCATATTGATCACATCTTTTCAGTGATGATGCATCAGGCATTTTTATAGCAGATGAAATTAACTGCTTTTTACCATATATTAAGATAACCCAGAATATTAACTATGCTTATGAAGAATTATTTTTTCTGGGCAGTTCTATTTAATATCTTTATTGAGGATCTGGATGAGGGGATCAAGTGCACCCTCAGTCAGTTTGCAAACGACACCAAGTTGGATGGGAGCGCTGCTCTGCGGCAGGGTAGGAAGGCTCTGCAGAGGGACCCGGACAGGCCGGACCCATGGAATGGTGCCGGTGGTATGAGGGTCAACCCTTGGGTCACACCAACCCCACACAGCTCTGCAGGCCGGGGCAGAGGGGCTGGACAGTGCCCAGCAGGAAAGGACCGGGTGCTGGAGCAGCGGCTGGACGTGAGCCAGCGTGTGCCAGGAGTGCCGCTGGCACCGGGCCTGGGGCAGCAGGGCCGGGGCAGCGCCATCCCCCCGCACTCAGCACCGCTGAGGCCGCACCTCGAGTGCTGTGTCCGCTTCTGCGCTTCTCAGGCCAGGATGGTCACTGAGGTGCTGGAGCGTGCCAGAGAAGGCAAAAAGGTCAGTCAGAGCTGGGGAAGGGTCTGCAACACAAGTCTTGTGAAAAGCAGCTGAGGGAGCTGAGGGTGTTTAGCCTGAAGAAAAGGAGGCTCAGGGGAGACCTTATCACTGCCTAGAATTACCTGAAAGGACACTGTAGCCAGGTGGGGATCAGTCTCTCCTCCCAAGAAACAAGTGATAGGACAAAAGGAAATGGCCTCAAGTTGCACCAGGGGAAGTTTAGATATTAGGAAATTTTTTTTATTTCAAAGACTGTCAAGCACTGGAACAGGCTGCACAGGGCAGTGGTGGAGTCACCATGCCTAAAGGGATTAAAAACGTGTAAAAGATGTGTAGACGTGGGACTTGGGAACATGGTTTAGTGGTGGATTTGGCAGTGCTGGAGGAACAGCTGACTCCATAATCTTAAAGGTCTTTTCCAGCAATAATTATTCCATTATTTTTACCTGCAGATAAGTCTCTGGGCCCACATGCTCATGCCCACACTTCCTCTCTCATCCTCATTGCAGCAGATAAGCAGAGGAGACAGTGATGGTGTGATGCAGTTTTCCTCTAATGGAGACACAGGAGCCTGCAAGGAACAGGAGATGAATACCAGGTAGTAAATTACAGCTGGTTACAACAGCTGCAACATAGGGAAATGCAATGTGATATTGCCAGAAAAAGTGTCAGCCAACTCTCCCTCCCTTGCAAGTTCCCTGTGAAAACAGGATACTTGCTTTATTGAGCCTTCAATGAAAATATATTTGCTCCTTCAGCTTTGATTGTAGAACCTCTGGAAGACTGACCAGAGAAGCTTCTGTCCTACTACTGTCCGTGAGACACTGGCACAGTCTGGGCACCCCTCACAGGATCTGAGCCCCCTGGCTTAGGCAACATGCACACAACAATGAACTAAATGGAATTATGAAAAGGGAATTCCCTGCCCCAACAGCATGTAACTAAATTCTGAGTAGGTAAAGAGACCACACAAGCAGGGTAAGGGCAAAAAGGCATGACACTAACAGGAACAAATGGTGATAGCCCATCGGTCTCACTGGCTTGGAGAGGAAGGAGCAACACAGAAGCAGGTAACACCTGGAGAGGTCACCTCTTCCTTTCTTACCTTAAGGCTGCTACTGCAGTCCCTGAATGGCTCCATCATCCACCTCTCCCCAGCGTCTGCTTCTTCAGAAATGGTTCAAAATGTCTCTGAACTCAATTTTCTCTGCAGTAACAACAGTCAGCAGCCCTTTCAGTGCCTTTGGATGCCTTTCTGTTGACTGGGAAGGCTGACAGGATGCTCCTTGAGTCCTCCAGCGGAACACAGCGTGAAGAGACTTGTCCAAGGGTACACAAGGGTCTGATGGGCTTGCCAAGGGCAGGCCACAAACACAGGGGCTTGCCAGCTACACCTTTCATATGCCATTCAACCCCCTCAACTTTTCCCTTCCCCAGACAAAAAGTATCTTAGTTATTTTTAAAAGAATTTCATGTGTTTGTTAGTCTGCAAGCTACAAAGTGCATATACATTTCAAATGAAATGGGTAGAACTTGACACTTCTTAAAATATACATTTTATTATTTTCTGGTAGTTGCTATGAAGGTTTCATTTAAATTGTGAAGGTACACAGCCTTTACAAACTTCTTGAGTTGAAGGTTTGTGTTGGTGGTTTTATGTTCTTTTTCTTTTACCGCAGAGGAAAATACATTGACTATAAAATGTTGAAATTCATTAGATGCTTAGTATCACCTCTTCATATACACTGTGGAATGCTTTGTAGAAATACTATATAAAATAAGGCAGACTTTAACAGGGAGTTCAGTCATAAAATGTCATGGGAGAAAACAAAGAGTTCCAACACACTATTATTTTTGTAGCCAAGAGAAGATCAGATGGTCCTCACTGGTTTGTGGGAGAACTACTGCAGTTCTGGTGCTCAGACAGTATACAGTTCTTGTTTATTCTACTACTCTCAAGTGAGACCTTTTTAATAAAACTTATTTTAATTAACATAAATCAGACAATATTTAAACATACACATCTATCCTTACAGTGCAATAAAAATGTATCATTGTATAGTATTTTGTATTTGCATTATGAAAATAAAAGGTCTGTACATCAATTAAATGTATATTAATGAGTATGAATCATGTAAATTTATAATGCATCTAAAGTTGGCTTTGGCTTTTAAGTATTTATAAATTCATAGAAAATATTGAACATCTAACAAAATAAATAAAACATAACATTTTAATCATAGATGCTAACGATCAACCTCAAAAATTCTTGTGTTATTTTTTACATTTGCTACTAAATTTCTTAAGGAGAACTCACTTTCAGTAGTGCTCAGAAGTGAATGATTGCACCTTCTGTGATGTGAAAAAATACAGTACATCTATTTTTCATAGATCAAAAAATTCTTTCATAGACAGTTGCATTTTAAATGTCTGATTGTTCTACATAACTGTCTGAAGTGCTTATAAAAAGCATGTAGCTTTCTCATAAAAGCTGTGAGTCTCTATCAATAGATAAACTTCTAGTGAATGTCCTTTTTATGAGGATTCTCTTCAAGGTCTTCCAGCTTCACGTGCTGGTATGAAGATATCACAGAAGTATGTTTGTAATAAACCCTCTTCAGTACAAGTACTGCAGCAATCCAGTGTAATTCCACTTGGTGGGCTTATTTCATCTGAGTCCACACATGGTACTTTGTGGAAGTCAACTGCTGACCTCGTGTTCTCTTGAATGTGAAAGTTCCCCAAGTGCATGGGCTAGCTTTACTGTAATACTGAAGAGACCAAAACAAATCTGAATTCACACAGATAAAAGTGAGCTTGAATAAATATGCATCTGGCTAATGAATGACACACCATGGTCTAACTGCTATTCTGGTGGTGGTCGAAGGACTCGCAGGTTCCTTCCATCCAGTCCTTTCCAGTATTTAATGTTATTATTCAGATGCTCCATCAGATTTGGCAGGTCGGCAAATGCTAGGGAAGAAAGGGCAGAAAGTATTGAGTTTGCAGAACTGAAACAGTCACAGGTTCTGTCTGCTTAAGTATCACTTGAAATGTTGGGGCAACTGGGTTAAGTAGAAAAGCTTAAATCTGTCATACTGATGCTTGAAATAGTTTTGGCTGTAAAGCTCTCAGCACTCGTGTAGCAGTTGGGCCACTGAGACTGTTCTGTAAATCTACTTAATACTGGTATTGTGAGTCCCAGCAAAGGAACACAGTTTTCCAGGAGGGGCATAGATAATTATGGTTGTAATTATCCTGCCCCATCAAACCTCAGTCACATGTCATCATCTGGCATTCAGGAGAGTCACATTTCTGACCACTTTTACCACGGACGCAGCACTTGGAAGGAAACAGCTTCTCCCCCAAGCAGTTTCCAGACAGTAGAAATTTGCCTTGAAGAATAACCAATATTAACATGGTCAAAATGACTGTGCTCAAAGAGCTATCAAAGAGAATGTGTTCTGTTCTCTGTTTACAGAGAAGCAAGTTTAAGAAGTTCAAGATTGCCTGAATCTAGTATATTACAGACAAGCCATGAGAATTGCTTGTAGCCATACTTATAAGAAATAATGAAGTTATTAATCTTACTTGAACTGCAGGAATCTTCCCTTTTCTCTCCCTTTATTTAGGAGCCATAAAAAAATATTTTTTTTTATCACAGCAGCTTCAAATGTTCACAAATTGTTCACATCAGGAAACAGAAGAGTTTTGCTTACCATCCCAGGCATCAAACATATCAATAATGAAGTAATCAATGAATGATAATTGGGATTTGGGGATGCTGCAAGTATTTCTGTCGAAAACTGGCATCACAACAGGTAAACCTTGCCTCCTTTCTTCATCAGTCTGCAAAAAAATTAGTGATTATTCACCTAAGACACATTCTGTTAATGGGCGTCTTTTAGCAGCAGATTGTTTGGCACTGACTAGAGAATGCATCTGCTAAATCAAAGGAAGAACCTGAATAAATCTGAAGCAGCAGCATCTTAATCTTGGTCACCTAGTTGTTCAGTTTCAGCAGAACAGCAGACACATAGTGCCTTCCAGTGTTTCCCACAAAGGGATGTATTTACCTTCTGACCCTAGGTAACTTGGCACATTACCAAGTTATCACTGCTTTGGACCTAAGAGCTGCTCCACCATTTTTGGTCTCTGATGGAAGCAGTGACCTGTCCCCTCACACATGGCAAAGTACCTTTCGTATTCCCTTGCCCCTTGCTTGGGGTGCCAAGTTCCAGCTGCAGTGTTTGGTATGTAATCTGTAATGACGACTGCCCTCTCCTTTTCCACATCTTCTAAAACCTTTCCTCAGCACAGTGTGCTAAGGGCTTGCAGCATTTATTGGAGTGAATGCTGCTCCCATCCAAACACTAGAACCTGATGGTCCTATTCCCAAGGCAGAGCCAGCACAGAAGACATCCTTGCTCTGTCTTATGGGAGTGCATTTGCAGACAAGGCTCAAAAAGCCCAGTTCCAAACTGAACAACTTGAAAGCTTAGATTTTTCAAAAATTGCACAATAGAAGTTGTCAACTTTCATCTCTCTGAAGGCATCTAGTTGTGCACCAGCATGAGTAATACCCATCATTTATAATAAAAAGGTTATTATTTCTCACATTACATAATGCAGCCTGAGATACTCTGTGACACTGACACCCTTCTCCTCCCTTTTAAAGAGATGCTCGCCTGCAGTTGCGGCAGCCTGTTTTAACTGCCTTACCTGTGCAAAGTACTCCTCAGAGATGCGTCCGGCCCATTCTATACACTGTTCTCTGGGTCTGCATGGATTGGAAATGTCAGCACACTTTATCAACATGCGTTTGATAAGGATACGGTTTTCAGGAGACCTGAGAACAGTTTTGATTGACTCTCCATCACCATTATTCTGTAACATTTAAGAATTAAAAACAATCCATTAGCAAGGTCTCCATGCACTAACTCAAAAGCTTTTGTGCTTTGGGAATGCTTTCAGCACATCCTACAGGGATCAGTCCTGCTACTGGCTACCAGATTTGATGTCTAACTGAATTTATAGGTGGATTATCGAAGTTAGCCACAGCTCTGAGCTAGCACTGAACTCCAGTTTCTGGATTCAGTCACTGGCTTTGTGACAGATCTCTTTGGCATCTTTGGGCAAGTCACCTAATCCCTCTATTCCTTATCTGCCTTCTCAAAAGTGTGGAGAGGATCAATTCATCACTACACACATAGTGATGAGGACCGTGTAGGCAGAAAAATGTAACTCTCTGCTGAAACCCAAGGATTAATGGACTTGCACATTAAGAGTGGAATAGTTGGTTTGAAAAGAGAGACTGACCCAAGATGCAGAGCCACCCTTGGCACACAAACCCTGTCAGTATATCAATCATTCTGACAGCACTGCTACTATTCAGAGAGTCAGATCCCACATTACTCCCAGGCATGATCCTCATTCCCTTCCCTTGTTGCTGGACTCTTTAAGGATGGATAGGTACAGGCATTTGCACTGCTGTCTACTCAGAATAGAAACTCTTTGAAGCAAGGAACATACAAGACTTTTTTGGCACCTAACAAGGTCTTGCTCTACAGTCAGAGCAGGGAAGAAGTACCGAACATGTAATGATAATAATAATGTGCTACCAGTTCCTGCAGTGTTTTGTACAAAGAGGGAGATACAAAGCAGCAGAAACATTTTGACCTTTTATTAGGTCAGAATAACCATGACATTTTTCAGAAGAAAATTCTTATGGGGAAGAAAGTTCTTCCTAAAGGAAGAAACTGACTGTAATAAAAAAAAAATTTGATAGTACAGAAATGGCTCAGAAATACCAGCTGCACAGGTCTCACAAAAATGAGGTGCACAAACCAATTCTTTTCTCTCATTTCTAGGTATGTGGAAGGGAAAACAGAAGAAACAAGGTGAGATGTATACACCTCCTAATGCATGGAAAAATTATATATGAGAAAGCCAATATAAAGTGATGGAAGCACCAGAAACACAAGTATGGAAAATAAGAGATTTTTCAGTTAGGGATAGTAGAGAATATCCTAGTAGGAAAACCACCAGGGAACAAGAAAAGATGTTCACCTCTGAGACCTGTTCAAACCAAAGGCACAGTTCTACTTGCTGGATGCAGATGTCTTGGGAATAAAATGTGTTAACTGGGCCTAGTCCCAGCATCCTGCTCCGAGTGCAGAGGTGTCTCTGCATGTCAGATGTTGGCTTCCTGTCATAGCTTAGGTGACATCATGAAGGGAAATGGGAGGATAGAGGATGCTGGAGCTGGAAAGGATTTTTTTTTCAGTTTATGAAACAAAAGCAAAAAGGAAACAAACAGAGCAGCTTCTCAGCATGGCTCTTTGAACAAATTTGTATAAAAATAATAAATAAATTAATAAATAAATAAAAATCAGTGGAATTGTCCCATTTGGAAAAGGCAGTTGGCAGCTCAGCCTGCAAACACTCCACTGAGTCACCACCATGACTGGAAAGCAGGCCAGAAAACACACAGTGCTGCTGCAGCCAGAGGGACAGCAGACTTGAAAGAGGGGCTGACAGTGTTGTTCTGCTCAGCACAATAAATAATTTGCTTTACCCACTCACACATTACAGGCCTTTTAATAGGAACTTGCCAAACTGAAACTCCCAGCTGAAAGAAGGGAAACATTTTGCTCCTTGTTTTCAATACAAATTATATATTCTTTGTCTTTCTTCCCATCCTAGGGCACAATTTGCTGTGAATCACAAATGTCTTGTGGGGCAGATAATTTCTCTGCAGTCTCTGGGGTTTAAGGGTAGAACTAAACTTTTGTTTCATTTTCCTATGTCCCTGTTTGTGTTTTTACTCTCCAATTTTACAGGTCAAAGCCCTGTTCTTCAGCAGCACCAGCTGTTCAGCTCTCTGTAATAGGCAAGAAGAGGAGTTTGACTCTTCGGATGGATGCTGCCGCTCAAACAACTGCTGCATCCCAACCCTTGGAGCTGGGAGGAGGGGCCCTGCACACCAAGCTAGGCCATGCAGAGCCCTTCAGCAAGACCAGGAGCCCTACAGAGTTACACACTCCACAGGGCCAGTGCAGTACATTGCACCCAGCAGCAGCAGCTCCCTTGTTCTCTCCTGCACCAATGCTGCTATGCTCATCCAGAGGGGCTGTCCAGCTGGGAACTTAACATCCTTTCTTCAGGATGAACAGAACAATCCTTTCTTCTCATTTATTCAGTACTACCAGTATCCTCCTGGAACTTTGGCTTCACATTCACAGAGTTCCCATTAGCATTGCCAGGTGCCAAGAACAAAGCTAATTCTAGTCTATACTCCTGTGGAAAAAGGTACAATTCTCCAATTAAGCGCCAGTCTGCCTCTCATGGGTGAAGGAACAAGACCTGTTTCTCTTCCACTCTCAGATAATAAAAAGACTGCCTTTCCTCATTACACACAACAGTCATAAATGTGGCTTTCTGAAAAACATGGTAGGAAAATACAGAAAACCATTACAGCTCCTACATGACATTGCCACCAATGCAAGCTTTATCATAACCATTTCTGCAAGTCTTCTCTTTGCAAAAATCATTCCAACAAAATTATACACTGCTCTTACTGGCAACAAAACTGCTGGTTGAAGCTGTTATTGAAACTGGTGTGGTTTTTCAGAAAGAGTTCTTAACAGGCAATTTCTTTGTGTCCATGGGGTTCCAGATGGCTATTGATTATATGATACATAATGTCACCATCATCTATTTTAAAGATTAAAAAAGAAAGCAGACAGAAACCCCATGAATGCTGCCAGGCATCACTGGAGGCTGAGGGCCTTTATTGCCAGAGAATGCACCACATGCCAGCCCACAGACCTGCCCTTATGCTGCACCCCCAGCAAACTCCCCTTGGGAGGGATGTAATTCAGCCTCTGCTTTGAAGCAAACCTTGCCTCCTTTGCAGAAACAGCCAACAACAATGCCCAGTCTTGCCACTTCTTCCATGGGAGTGACTGGGTTAATCAAAATGGCATTTTTACACGAAAACATACAGCCCAGGGTCCTGGTTCCAAGTATGACATCACAGCACTGTGATATTAATAGGATCCAAGTGAGTCCCACTCACCCTCAAAGTAAGTGACAGCCATGTTAAGCAGAAGGGGATTCAAACCCAGAGGTGAAAGATAAATCTCCAGCCTCTCTTTCTCCACATTTCTGATAAACTTTCTCAGAACACCACATGGGAATTTCCCACTGCCAAGGGTTCCCAGTCCCTGCCTAGGTATTTTAAGGAGGACTTGAAGTGTTGCTTACCCCATTTTCTTCTAGTGCTGCCAAGGGTTTATTAATGCTGTTGACAAACTTGTTGACATGCTCAAAGTGCTTTGTCATTTCTGTTGCTAAGACCATGTCAATAATGACTTGGCGAAGGGTTCGATACTCATTCCTGTTTAAAGAAGGAAACAATTAAGAATGCTGGCTGGGTCACAAAGGGCTGGTTGCTAAAACAAGTCTAACAAAATTGCAACAGACCACTCCTGTTTGAGAGAGGTGCTAGGGGAACAAAGAACAGGAATAAAGGCTTGGGCAGCTGTGTCTCTGTTAGATGTAGGAGTACCTTTGGTGTGTAGAGACATATCTGCTCCAGGCATGACTGGATCTCTAGGAGAAACAGCACCAGAGCTGGGCAGAAGCAGAGGCACCAGCTGCTTAGGAGGCTGCTAGGACATGCCACACCTGCATTTTCCCAAGGCTTTTAGCACAGACACCCAGCTGTGGCTCACTCTCTAGGCCAATTTTCAGCAATACTTTTCTGTTGTATCTTGAGAGAACCAAGGCAATGGTCACATCCTTGCCCTAAATGCTTCTCTGAGGCTGCAAGAGCAACAGGTCCTTCATTATTCTTCACACTAGTCTGTGGCTCTTTCTCTCTTTGTTCTCTACCCACCCAGCCATGGCTTGTTCTCTACATTCAATGACACAAAACAACTCTTCTAGACTTGCTCACATTAAGATTTACACTAAGTTCCTTAGATAGGGTCTGCCTTTTTATGGACAGGAGAAACTGACAGTGGGGAATTACTCAGAAGTCTTTGCAGGAGAGACAGAAGCATTCTACTCTTTTAGAAGCAAATTTCACAAGGGCCATGGACAGTTATCCACAAGGCACTGCCCTCCTCTAGGATGCTTGTTTGCCTTATGGTACCCAGAAGGAAGTGAGAGATGTAGGTGGGCAGAACATGCACCCTGGGGGTTAAGCTTACCTCTCCATGTTTTTAAATATATTGCATTTGCCATCCCGGGTGGTGAGCTGGAAGGCCAGGGCAGCATGGTGGCTCTCCAGCACGGCCGTGTCGTTGTAGAGAATTGCAAGCTCGCTGCCAGCATTGCACAGGAAAGAATTTGTTCTTCCTGGGTGATCCACATCGTGGACTGTGGCAGCAATGAGCGCGGCAACCTCGTCTATCGGATCCAGAGTTTGCTGAAAATAGAAGGGTGCTTAGTTTTCCTGGCACACTCATTAGAAACCCTATTCTGTCCATAAGATTAAGCCAAGTCACTGAGGAATAAAAGCCAAAACTCTGGAGGATCAGTAAGGGTCAGATGTTCTACACAGAGCAATGGAAAATTCATTATAAGCTTCATTGAACATTGCGTGACTTTTTTGGCCATTTTGTACCTCTTAAATTTTGCCTTAACCACACCTTTGTCACAGCACATCAAATTAAACAAATGTAAAGTAATAAATTAGGTTGTGTTTTCTAGAAACACTGAAACCGCCTTCACTTGGAGTTAAGGTATTTGCTTGGAAAAAAGACCAATACTGCTAAAAATTATTCGATTAGCGCCCCTTAATTTCTTTTGGCAATTTAATGTGTCCTAATCATGTTCCACTTCTGTGCTGGCTAGGTTTACAATTTGAAAGGAATGTTATCCATACATCCAGTTCTTTAGTAACACTGTCCTGGGTTAAAGCTAATGTATATTCTATGAAGCATATTTGATGTTCTGTATCCATGGATAAATTACATAAAACACATATTCTGGACTTTCTGTGTCACAATCTGATTCTGGTAGCATGCTGCACTCCAAGCTTTATGTCTACTTGCAATGGGCATTACTTTATGCCTATTTTTATCTACCCTGTCATGAAATACAAACCTATTTGACTCTAAGATTTTACACTCAAGTGTTAATTCTTTATAAATAGCATAAAGGAGAACAAAAACTAAGCATCTCAGAAACATCTGGAAACTAGCCTTTGTGCTGTATTCATACTGGCATTTGTGAAAGACCACGGATTCAAAACAATTATATTAAAAATTTTAATAAAATGAAGGAGACATGAGAGCAAAATTATTCCCATGGGAATCTGGGAGCAAGGTAGATAATTTTCATTCCAATTTGCTTTCATTTGAGGTCCAAATTCTCTATGGGCCCTCTACTACCATTCAGAATAGTTACATTTGGTAGGTGAAAAGACAAACCATTCCCTTTTTCACACCTCCTGAAATTATGCAATGACTTCACTTTACAGGAGCAGGGATATTATTCATTAAGGACTGTCAAGAGAGTCTCATGGAGAACAAGAGAAGGCAAATAGTTCTTTCTGCTGTAGTTCATAGTTAGCATTGTCTGAAATACTCTCTGCTGCATGTTAACTTCTTCCTTGTTTCTTTCAGCCGCTGGTCATGGGATTCTATTTTTGTGGTATGCAGTTCAGAGAAAGGGATTTGAGAGAGGGAGTTCCTCAGTGGGACACACTGAGCAGCATTCAGTCTGGCTGACAAAGACCTGTGCAGATGGAAAATGGCCAGAAACATGAGAATGCCTGACCTGGAGGACCACAGCAGTCTACCTGACTTATTTCACAGGGATTTACAGCACTTTTACACCCAACATCAAGTCAAGGATCCTAACTTTGTTATCTTAACTCCCATGGCACAGAAGTGAAAATGATTCTAAGAATATGGCTTCAGTTTTGGAGCCAGAAGATTTTCTTAGACAAGTTGAGCTGAGTTCAAGTTACCAAAAAAAAAAATATTCTCATGAATTTCAGTGGCAGAATTGGGCTTTCTGTGTTTAGATTAAGTTGAACTCTGTGCAACACAAAAGCAGCTGGGCTATAACTTTGAAAAGATGAAGAGAGAATTCTGAACTTTGATTCTGCTCCTTCTGTTGCAACATTTTTTTCTCTTCCTATGCCTACAGAGGAATGGAAATAACATTCTGGAAAAAGAGAAGGTAGTCAGGCTTCTGTGGCATTGAAATGGGTCCAGATCTTGTCTGTTTTTCATAGATATTCTTGGGAAGACCAGCTAAACCTCTGGCAAATCAGGGGCTGAAAAAGTCCAGTGACAATCCATCCCTATCTGGCACATGGTATTTGTAAATCAGCCTCTGGAGAGCACACTAATGAGCTGCAGCTCCAAGTTAACGGAATTACTACAGCTTAATGAGCTGTCAGAAGCTTGTTTACAGTCACAAATTTCTCAGCCAGGTGCCTGTCATTGGTGCTATCCTTAGGCAGACCAGTTCAGAACTTCTACCCAGGAGTGCAACTCAGAAATATGTCCCACCACACTACTGCACACACACCAAGCACTGCTTTGTTCCCCTTCTCCAGTTTGGGCATGTGAGAGCAAAAGTCATTCTGATTTATTCTGGTTCTCATGATTTTAATACCACAGTGGGTATTATGGTAGTGACAAGTAATTTTTTTCAATACTCTCCTCCAATGCAGTCTCTATAAGCCTCAGGGCATCTTCTCCAGTGGGTGATACAGCCCACTTTATGGCCTATATTGTCCTGGGAGTCTTTTGCAAAATGACCATCACAGGACATAAGAGAGGGTAATTACCCAGATTAAAGCTGTATTTGGCATGTACCATAATAATAAAAAATAATAATGTACAAAAATAATTATGTCATTAGCTCACCTATCTGAGAAGGTTTAACTATATGAAGAAGTTTTACTCGAAAATAAGGTTTTCTTATTCTCCCATTAAGAATTGTTCCATTTTGTAATGTTAGTATCCATCCTTCTACATGTACTATAAGAGAGATCCTAGAATTCATGCAAAGCCCAGTTCTTTGGCCTCAGAGTTACCAGACTGGTTGTCACTAGGCAGACATTTGGCTTTTGAATCTGAGAGATCCTTCTTTGATTGCATCTGTATTTCCCACCTACACTGTTTCACATAGATGTGGACTCACCTTTACTCTCTCTTTAGACAAGAAGTAAGCAGTAGCATGTAGTACATCTGCTGAATGAGTAGAATTATGGTAGGAGTTGGAGGAATGGTAGTTAGCCTCAATAACTTGTAACCATGACCTCAGAGTGGATTCTGAACAGTTTAGGAATTCACAGATTCCAAAGCGAGCAAATATTTTGAGACCCAGATAAACCAAAGGCCTGTGGAGAAAAATAAACAGAAAGTTTTAAACTGAATGCAGCTGAAAGAATATTATATAGCATAAACAGTAGGAATCCACACAGCATTTTTAGCTAATGACAAATGTAATGATGTGTAAGGACTTGTTACAGAATTACTGTGTTATATACTGGAATTGTAACATACATAAAGTCAGATCCCCCTTAATCCCCCCCAGTGTTAGACAAAGGTGTCTCCAGGTTTCTCTGTCAGGGAACTGAAATGTACTAAAATTTCATTAATTATCCTGGCTTTATTACCATATATCTGCTTGGACTTAAGGCAATACCAGTAATATATTCATACTTGTGAGTCACTGAAAATCACTTTACTTCTCTTAACAAATGAACTATCATTATTTAAACACAGTAGGAAGCAATCATAATTATACTGCCTTTAATAAGAGTACAGGCAACAAAGTAGCTCCTTTGTCCCTCTGTGGTCTCTCCAGATCAGTAAGAGCAGAGAAACCTACCTGGTGACCTCATGCATGTTGGCTGGGAAAATTAATTAAGTTACTGCAATGTACCCATTAAATGTTGTAAATCACACAGACTGACTGTATTTTTACATTTTTTCTTTTTAATTACTTATCTGTATGACTTCATTAGAAATCAAAATGCAGCAAAGAAAGAAAACCTAAAGCAAGTGGATATAAATACCTTCATTTAAAATAAAATAACTTCATAGAAGAATAAAACCCTAGGAGGTTTTGCACCTTTTTGGCTCACAAAACCACAGTCTAACAATGAAGTGCATATTTGTTAACTAAGTGCCTGACATCTTTCTTAGACTTTGGTTTTGAATAACTTTCAAAGCTCTTACAGATCTGGGATTTTGACAAAGGGTTTAAGATAGTCAATTCATTGCAGGATCTGGCCTCCAAATTAGTGTCCCACAAAGCTTTTACCTAAGACAAAGCATTTCCCTTTCCCAAAAGGGAAACTTTTGATAAGCATCAGAAAATAAAACCAAGGACTTAAAGAGAAAAAACAATTTACAGTCTTTGGGGGAGCCTTTGCAACTAATGAAGTACAGTCTATCAAAGCTGCTGATCTGCTTTTGAAAACTTCTGTGATGGAAATTGGTATGCCCTGCTTTTTATCAGTACATGTTTGCAGTTAAGCTTATACATAAAATGTGACCTGCCAAGATTTTAGAATAAAGACCTTCCTCTAATCCCAGAGAAAGGTAATGGGAATTCTGCTGAAAAGCTGTATTGGAACTGTTCAGGAATAAAACCTTCCCAATCAAATGAAAAGAAAATAAAACCTGGTCTGTATTAACTGATCAAATCAAGACCAGCAGGTTGAGTCTGTGTGTAGTTTGCCATAATAGGAATTTGAATCCCCACAAGAAAATAATTTGATTTGTAAAACTTTTCTATTCCCGAATAAAGGAAGGCTTTAAAATTACGCTGTATTGTCATTATAACACACCAAAGATATATAATCTTCACTTATATCCACTGGGAATTTGCAGGAAATAGTGCATGATGAAACAGAAGCTATTTAAGATGCTAGAAATGACAATGAGAAAATGTCAAACATCTGACATTGAAAATAAAATTAATTCAGTTGTAAAAGCACAGGTAGATAACTTAAGGATCTGATTAGAGGATGACATTTAAGTCAATTTTCAGCAACTTCAGTTTCTGAGCTCTTGCATTTACTGACCTTTTATGGGTGGCAGCCTCAAGTTCAAAGATATCAAAATCCCACTGTTCCTCATTTTCCATTGCCTGTGTTATCCGTGGGGGGATGTCATTGAGGGAGATTGGAGAGCTCAGACTGCCAGCAACCTGATGAGTTTCTTTTGAGGAAAACAGCTATTACTATATGTATTCATTAACAGTATATTAAGTAAGATATTTAATAGTGAGATACAATTTTACTGAATGACCATGCTTTCTTTTCTGTAGTAACACGCAGCTCAGTAATGCTGCAGAAAAATGCTTACAGATAAAAAACCCCAAACGAAAAGAAATGCTCATTAAAAAGGACATCTAATCACATTTCCCCTGTTTCTTAAATTTCTGAACGTTTTAGTATCTCAAATTAAATTAGCTGCCAAATTAAAACTTACGTTTTGCTGACAATATGTATTCGTTCCCTGATAATCTTCGTAAACCATCCTGTTAAATGAAAGTTGCAAGTTAAATGGAGGCTATTGCACAATAGGTCTAGGAGATGTTGACACCAAGTAGTATCACAACAACTTCAGAGAAGCCTGACTGCAGCCTGTCACTCATCAGAGCTGCCTCTCCCTTATTTGTTTGTACTGTTCAGATCCACCTGGTTTACACATAGCTCGTAACAGATGAGGAACTGCGGGCTAGGGGATACAGCATGGACTCAGGCAGGTAAAAAGTCAGGTTTCTCAGGTGCAGATGGAGGTCTAGAACTGCAGCCCACATCTGTCTCTGCCAACATGCACACCAGCTGTGGGCCTGTGCCTCAAAGCACACACGGCGTGTCCACCACGCACTTCCAGCAAAGGTGGGCAGTGGCAGGGAGTGGATGGAGACATTCCCCAGCTCTCCTGCCCTGGTACTGGCAGATCCAGTCACCTCAGCAGCACAAGAATCTCATGAGAATCTCAGGAACAAATTAGGCCGAGGGTTCCTTTCTAGCACACAGAATGTGTACTTGTTTTTCCTTCAGTTCAGTGCCTCCTAGGCTTAATTTTGGCACGATGCCTAGATGTGAACACTGAGATGATGGATTAAAACTAACAGAATTATGTATTTAATATTTACTTTTTGTTTTATAATTCAAAATGCTGTGGCTCAAATCCTGCTTGCTCTTTTGAGGTTACAGCTGTTAGCTCATGTTTAGTCCATGATGTAAAAAAACAGTGTTTAAAAAAACTACTTCTGAATGCACCTTATTAAAGATGTTATTCACACCAATTATAGTTGAAGTAAATGTGGATCCTGTATCTGAACATGGAATATCTGCTCTTAAAAGAGCTGTTATATCTAATTCTTATTTTCACATTTGTAAGTAAGTAAGTCTGGAGTTTTGTGATTTAAAAGGAAAGGAAGTACAACAGTGGCTGTTCAACAGAACTGCTATGACACAAATATTTAGGTCACCAGATGCTGCCTATCATTTAGAATCAAAGATTAGTTTTTAAGAGTTGCAATAGCAGGTGTAATTGTATCTGGTAAATCTATCTTTGAACTCCAAATGCCCTTCCTGCTTGAGAGTCCAAATCCAATAACATATTACTTGTTTCCTTCTCAGATGTAACTTCTGAACGCAAATGGAACAATATAATTCTGTTTTCAGCAGACCCTTTGATGGAAAAATGTTTCTCTCCAATAACTTTAAAACTCATACCATGCCATATACTCTGAAATTAATTTTCTCAGCTTTTCTTATTGCTCCATAAAAAAGCCTTTGGTTTCTTTTTAGTAAAGATTTTATATTTTGCAATATTGTTATCTTCATGTTTGTGGACCAAATACAATCAGAACACAAATGCATGTTAGAGTCAACAATCCACAAAAAAGGAGAAAACAGTTGTGTTTATGGAGTCTTATGTGTTCAACAGGAGAAAAGATTCACTTCAAGACTAATGATTATATGTATCAATATTCTTCCTATATTTTTGAGTTAAGATAACAATAAATTTTGTCTACTCAGTTAGCAAATACAGCCCAGTATGAACCATTCAGGTCTTCTCCTGGAATTCTTGGAGTCTCCTGCATGTTTCTCCTGATTAGATATTTGCTGTGGTATTTTCAAAGGTAAAAATACACATGAACTATTTGAAGAGTCTGATGGATAATGCAAAGATATACTGCAAAATAGTTCCAACATTAAATTGTAATAGCCCAGAGACATCTCTGAAAAGCTCACATTTTGTGAGCCTTTTTGCGTCCAACACACTGTAAATTTTTGTCCTGATGTAGCCTTTCATACGCAACCTATAGACTGATGAGAGCACATATCCTTAGGGCACAGGTAACATTCATCTAAACTCATCTCTTTACCATCAGGAGGGTCAGACTCCAGGCTCAGAAGGTTTGGGTTCAGTTCTTGCTTCACTATGTGCCCTTTGTTCAACTTTGGGTACTATGCTACAGGTACAAATATAATCCAAGAAACAGCAACAAAAATATGTATTTTGCATTCTTTTGAAAACATTCTTTTGATAGACTGAAAAGCCCCCCAAAACCATGTCATTTTAATCCTCATTAATAAATTTTAAAAAATATCTGGTTCTCTTTCTTTCTTCCTCTCCCATCTATACCTTACTAAAATGAATCACATTGAAAAAAATTTGGTTTTACTTTCCATTTTTAGCTAAACTAATGTTTTAAAGGAGCTGGTCAATTTTCTTCCCATTTTCAGAGCTACACTATTCAAGTAGGGGGAGAAAGTCCACAAAAAGATGTGTGTGGTTTCTCCTGAAAATCTGCCGTTGTAGAGGCAGAGCACATGGCAGATGATAAAGATCAAGTAACTGGGAAAATCAGGCAGCAAACATTAATCAAGAGCTGTTTGTGGCAGTAAGTACTTACTGTCATTAGTCCTCCAACAAGGTCACTTGTATGTGGATCCTCATCTTTTGTCCCCAGTTGTGGAGAGTACAATTCAGTGGTTCTTAAAATCTCCAAAGCCCGGTCTAAAGCTTCTGCAACTGGCATGGGACTGCTCTCTTGTGCAGCATTGATGATGTTTATTACCTAATGTAGATCAGACATATTGTGAACTTAGAAGTGATTTTTAAAAAACAGAGACACTCGTTAACTACTATGGAAAACTGAAGGAAAATAACAAAACAACTTTAATCCGCATGGGGGAAAATCAAAATTAAAGGGACATTACTGAAATTCTGACGTTTGCTACTGACTCTGGGAATAAGATATTGGCTTAAAGACAGCAATCTCATTAATGACTTCCCCTTCCAAGGCACAGCCTCAAAATGTCTCTGAATGGATTTAACGTAACTTTCTCCCACTTGCCTCTCACAATTTGTTAAAGAGCTGGTTTTTGACAAATCTTTGAATGGTTTCAGAAAGCAGCTGACAATGCATAAGTAAGAAGGATGAACTCCAGTCCCTCCTTCTTAGAAAGGATCATGTGATGGCTGACTCCATGGATGACACTCTAGCAAGCAGGTTTGGGAGACCTTGGTTCAGAGTATCTGCCTTTTTGAAGCTACAGCAGTGTGGGGTGGAAGAGGGAAGGAGCTCAGAGGCTGGCGCTGTCCTGGAGCCTCATGCCCCAGTGCAGCAGCACAGCACAGCACAGCTGTGACATTACCTTGGTGATGGGAGCCTCGATAGTCATGGAATGGACCCTGGCCATGGAGGAGCGGCGCCGCTGGGAGCTGCCTGTGTGCAGAACAGAGCAGAATTTGTACCCTGATTGCGGAGACAAGGCTGGACAGGAGGATCAGCCAGGAACTCCTGAGGCCTTTTCTGCACTGCTTACCCTGCTGTGCCTTTCAGAGGCAATTGACTGCAGAATGCACAACTGCAAAGAGATGCTGGCTGAACCACTGATGTCCCTGATTAGAGATAAGTGGCTGTAACAGCCTGGCAAAATCCTGGCTATGCTTTATTATTTTAAATATTCAGTTACAAACTCAGTTAAAAGACTAGACAAATATGCGTGTATAAACTGGCAGGCACAGGTAGGTAACCACTGAATTTAGATTATTACAGGATGTAACTACTCTTGCTGCCTGATGCAATATGACAAGTCATAATGAGTCAGCTTCCAAGCTGAGGTAAATCACTGAAGCTCTTTTGAAGTGGGTACCTATGCCAAATAAAAACAGCAGAGGTTTTGGCCTATTACATTGGACATTTAAAAACAAATGTTTTATATTGGTTAGCAATTTTGGTTCTACAAAGAAAAGATCAAGATGAGATTTTTCTGGATATTGTGCTACCTATAAAATGCAGACATCTCTGTTACTTATTGTGCTGAGCAGTTCTTAAGAAGAGTCAATGCTATTTTTTCTATACTGAAATATGACTGTATTCTCACTGCCACAGACATGCTTCACTAGTGTATGCTGCCTAGACTGTGATGAGGGATGATTTAACAAAAGCATGTAAGTGTCAGCAACAGTTTTGAGTATGTGACTCATCTATCAAGTTTAGGGTGATCTAACAGAGGAAAATATAACACAGTGAAAGAAAACAAAATTAAGAAAGAAATATCTTCATATCTCTATCAAGGGAAGAGGTAAGAAATGTAATAATTTGGGGTTTGGGTTTGCATGACAACTCCAGCACAGCCAGACCCAACACGATGAGTTGTTTCACATACCATCACTCCCACGAGATGTTGTGGATCTGACATCCAGGGATCCTTTCCTCATGTCTTTGTGTCTGCAAGTCTGAGTATCTGTGAAGAAAATGGTATCGCATAATGACACAAAGTTTTGCTTAAGATGTATGTTAAAGGAACTGAAGCTCAGAAAAGCCTGGCAGCAGCTGACATTGACCTCAATGCTTCAGCAGATGAGAGCTGATCCAAGTGCCTTTTAAATTTCTTGCCCTATTACACTGTCCTGAACACAGTCAAGTTCTCATGCAGAACATGTCTAAGTGTCTGTGCAGAAGGAAACTGTGGAGAGAAAAACTCCTCTCTTGCCATTGTGACACAACTGCAGTTGTGAACACAACTTGTGCAGCACACCTGAGCTCACACAGGTAACCACTGCCACCAGGCACTGGTGGGCCACAGCAGAGCACGTCAGCAAGGGGGGCAGTGTATCCCAGGTTCCTTAGGGACTCCAAGATTCAGCCTGTGCTAAAACTACAGTTAATAACAGCATGGATGCCAAGGATGTCCTAATTGAAGTGCTGATATGTGGGATGAGGGTGAATTATAGTGTTGGTCATCCTCATTTCCACCCACAGGCAAGCTCCCCACAAAGCAGCTCAAAGCAATGCAGGTGCCATGTGCTATAGAGCAGCCACAACAACACAATGACATGACAGCATCCTTCTCATTTCTAATTCTGTCACAGGGATCCACCACCAACAACTGAATTGTGGCACTGACCCCAGCAACACCATGGCACCAACTTGGGGCCCTGTGACAGCGTTTTCAAAGGTGGGCTGCTTTCTGTCACCTCTGAAGTAAGTGAGGCAGGTAGAGAGGGGGCTTGTATTTACTTTCCTGCCTTTTGAGCTGGATTCCCAGCTTATCCCTAGGTAAACAGGACTGATCTGTGTACTGTGTTTTCAGTCAAATCACTAAGAGTGGCCTCTATTCCCTCCCCAGGTATGTTCTCCATTCTTGGGAAAGAAGAGACATGTCGTACCTGTCTGAGATTCAGCCTGAATACATTCACATGTCTTCTCCACCTACAATTCAGTATGAGAAATCCAGTTAGTCAGAACTCTGCCATTATTTTGTTATACTTAGGGCTCAAACTAAAGTGAGCATAGCACTATTTTCACTTACCTTATTGTTGTCATTGCACAGTCTACTAATTGACACATAGTGTCTAATCTTCCTGCAGGCAAAAAACAGTGTGTTAATTCCCATCCAAACCTCAGCACTAATTCAGTGCTGACACTTGGGTGCTCCAAAGGCTGGATTTGGGGACCAAGTGAAAGTTGCATAAAAATCTAGACATGCTTGAATCTTGCCCATGATCAGAGCACACAGTGACCTCATCCCATCACAACCCTTGGCAAGAGCCAAGGGAGAAAAGGAGCATGAAAGGAGCACAGAAGAGTGAGCGTGGAAGGACCCAGTACAGGTGCTCAGTGAAACAGGATGTAGGTCCTGGTGACACCAACACGAAGCACAGAAAGACCAGAGGGTGCATTTGCACTTCAGGGAGAATTAGAAGAGTCAGAGTCACAACTGAGCACATCTGCATCTCTGGCTCCTTTTGGGGGAGAATTAGAATTTCACTTTCCCTGCACACAACATATAAAGTTGATTTGCCCCAAGGAATTAAGTGCATAGGTCTGCACCCTTCCTTGCATAAAGTTCCATTATACTCAGCAGCAGGATAATCCAATATCTGCTGGAGGCAACTGAACTCTAAACTGAGCCTTCATTCAGACACAAATCATGACTTCAGCTTTCACACTTACCCTCCCTGTCCAATGACAGGTAGTATCTTCACATTTTGTTGTATGCTATCTCCATTTTTCTTTTTCGCATAGTACATTCCTTGCCATTCCTGAAAAAATAATTCAAGTGGAAGGAAGATCAGATAAAACATGAAGAGAAGCTGTAGCTCCATACCTTCTTTCACTGAAAGCTGCCTCACAATACAAAGCCAGGCAGGACTGGTTAAACTGTGCTCAAACCCTGTAATTTCTTCCCTGTAAGTAACCTGTAAGTCACTGTGCTGCTGCCAGTGCATGGACAACTTCCAGAGGAGCAGCCTGGGAGCACTCTGATGGCAACAGCTGGAACTCAGGAGCTGTGGGAATTAGCTGCATTCTCTTCCTTCCCCATCCTACCTCAATGGTGTTGCAGGTGATTTTGGGGAGAGCAGGAGCTCAGACCAGCCCCTGCCTGGAGCAGAGTCCCCCCGGGCTGCAGGTGTGGGTTCCCCAGGGACCCAGGACAGGAAGGGGACTGCAAAGCTGTTACACCACCCTCACCACCTTCCCTGCTGGGTACACCATCTCCTGCATGGCTGGGATGTCTTATCACTGGTTAACATTAAATGTATCTGTGACTAAAAGTGCTTTGCTACCCCAGCACATTTACTTTCCATGCTGGCAGTTTACCATCAAATGCAGCAGAGATTTATTCTGTTTCTCTTAAAGCAGAAGAGAGCCCAGTAGAATAGCTCCTGGATTCTGCCTCCCCTCTAAAAACACTCTGGTTTTAGGATTGCCCATGTGTTTCCATCCCTAGAATAGCTGTTGGTGGTCTTTTTTAACAGATGCATATTTTGAGCTGGGCATTTACCAAATACCAAGTAATTAATGAAAAATTAAATCCATCTTCCATGTTCACTTAACACAAACTGCTCAGGCCAATTGCTGTATTTCAGTAGAGCTCAACAAACTGTAGATCAGATCTTATGTATGTGAAAACACTCTCATGAGCCACACAATATGTATTTATTTATGTGAGACTGACAGATTTCACAGTCAAGCTGGCCAGAACACAGGTACAGAGAGAATAATTTTACATTTATGTGGATGGAGGCAGCAAATAAAGACTCCAGCCCACAGAGAACTGCATGGTGACAGGCTGTACAGAATAAAAATATGAAAGACTTTTCTGAGGATCTGTCAGAGAAGAGAACTGTGAATAACAAACTGTGTAGTGAGCATAATGTCTTCCGTGAGCTGCTTGAGGAATACAAATGAAGATAAAAGCAAGCACCACAAAATTCAATGCTCTCATAATTAAAAGTATGCACATCAATAGTTTCCTGACAACCAGGATGAGGTAGAGATGAGTAATTGATCTCTAACCCAGGTAATAAACCCAGGATGTGCACAAAGGGGTGAAGTCATAAACTACAGATTGGTTAATTCCCACATTGAAAGCATATCCTTTTCAAGGCAGGTTATTCACTAATGTGTTCTTCTCAGTCAACAGATCGATTTTTTTAACTTGTGAATTTCTAAAACCTGTGAAACTGTTGCAGGAAATGTGTGAGGGAAAAGGTCAGTGCAATTCTGAGAAGCAGGAGGTCCAAGCCAAACTCCTGCTGGTAGGTGAAGTTCTCCCAGGGATGTCACTTAACCGTATTTTAAGAACACCATATGCTCCCTCCCAGAGCCTCTGTCAGCAATCCAGCAGAGAAGAGCTATTCCCAAGGCGAGCTGTCAGTCAAGCCCATGGCTGTGTCTGCACTGGAGCCACACAAGGTCTGTGACCAGCTCCTGCTGCGGGGCTGCTGGGATCAAACCAGAGCAAAGAGCACACCCAACAAACCCCACAGTGCCACCCCTCACAGGGTGCATCAGGGCTGAGGCTGCAGACTCCATGGAGAAGGCCAAGGCACACATCTATCCACCGAGAGCTCTCACAGGCACAGTGAGGAACCCCCAGCTCAGCTTCCTTTCAGACTGGGGCTCCTTGCACTAGACAGCAAAGCCCAGCAAACTGCTCGCAGAAAACAGAGCAAACCAAAATAAACACCGTGAACACAATCTCACAGAACTGAAGGCTGAGCTAGGAAGGTGCTGCCATGGACCTTTATCACAGAGTGTGATTGCTCTCCCACCCCCTCTGGAAAGACCTTGCAAACAGTTCCCAAAGGGTGAGAGGAATTGCATGGCTTGTCTGCTTTATCAGTAGGTGTTCATCTCACTGCAGAAAAAGCAAAACTAAGAGCAAACTGCAGAGATCAGAGGCAACAAGAATTCCAGTCAGAATTGCACATTTCATCTTAATAGATGCAATTTGAATAATGAAACAGAAGAATGAAGAAAAGCACAAGTCTTTTTTAACTCCTCAAGTATGGATGGATGAACATTTCAGTAACATTGGCTTCTGGCAAATTACAGACAGCTGTAGTAACAAAAAATGAACTTCCAGAGATATGCTTTTTGCTAAGAGAAACAACATCCTGACCCAAGAATCCCTATACACCTTTCAATTTCCAATTTTTGAGAATAACACATATGAACTTCTGTTTTATTATAATGAACTTGCTCACAGTACTATGCTTGTCAGCACAAGAGGTGAAATGCTGCAAGAGTCCATCTTCCTAAATTCCATTTAAAGACAAGATACATTTCATGCAGCTTAGATTTTTTCAAAGATCAGAAAAACTTGCTTTCTTATTATTTTTATTATTCTGTTAAGTATAGTACCATATTTGTTCAAAACAAAAGTCAGACCTGTTGACAGGAGATTATCACAGCAGCAGACAGTTTCCTTTTTTTAATATGCTGTAACCTACACAAACCTACACTAACCTACTTTGCTGTAGCCAAAATATGGCCTATTGTAATGAGAAGCAGTCTCCTAAACTTAAGATATAAAGAAATCACAAGTCTGAAAACTACACAAAGACCATGTCAGGATGATCCAGGTAACTAAGGCACCTCTGAAAACGCTGTAATATCTTGACAGAAATTATTTCAAAACTTCCAAGTATTTCAAAGGTTGTTCCTCACAGTTAACCTCTACTTGCAAAGGATTCCTGTAATAATTTATTGGCAATTCCATTTTATATTAAAATATAAATTTAAGGTTGCATAGATTACGTATTATAAAATGTTCCAGAGGGAAACACAAACAGAATAAATCCACCTAAAATAAGCTGTTCCAGACAGACAGGTTTAAGTAGGCAGCATTTCATTAGCCCTCACTGTTAAAGCCACACAGTCAGGAGTAAAATTAGTACAAGGAAAGAGATGAATTACATTTAGATTTCCATCATTCACAGAGTAAAATATATTGCCATCATTAATGAAATTTTTTTCAGCTCACTAAAATATTAAAAAATGTTATCACTTTGTATCTTAAGAATTGATGGTGTGGATTTAAAGCCTGACACATCTAATGTATTTGTATTATAACTTAATAAATACTCCCTCCTAACATCAGTTTTGTATTGCACACATTTACTGAAATAACCTCAGTCAGGCAACAGAAGTGTGAAGCACCACAATCCCGACTCCTGTCTGCTGCTGGGATCTCTTCCAACAGGCCAGCACACGTGGAAAGCAATCTCCTTGAAATGCACGTGGAATCTGCACCCAGCTTCTGCCACCGAGTGCCGTGTCAGCACCCTGCCCTCCAGAGCTGACTCACCACAACCTTGCACTTGTGCTTTTGCATCCCTGCCTAGATCCAGAGCGCCCTGACCCCCTCTGGCATCTCCCTGCTCCGTGCCCATGCTGTGCTGCTTCCCACGGACAGTGCCCGTGACCCTGGGCCATGGAGCATCATCAAACACAGCCCTTCCCAAATCTCTCGGTGCAGCCTCCATGATCTGCTCCCTACAAGGCACTGGGTCATGTTCAATGACATCAGAAACCAGCTCACCTCTGAGCAATGAACCTTTCTAAAGGAAATCCACTAGACAGCTCCCATGCCATTAGGGAATTAAACAGACTGGCAGCTGGCACTGCCTATCACTTTCAAGCGATATTGCAAATGTCTCCTTGGTATTTTTACATTCTGAACTTGCAAATCAGTTTCCACATTTCATGGTGAAATTCTTCAATATGGTACTTTTCTCATTTACATAGCACCAGATAACATGTGCATCCATCTGATTTTTCTTCGGTACTCCCACACCATTTGCTATGAACAGCATAAATTATAAAGAAACGCAGCAAGTCACTTATTTTTGTAAAACAAGTATCTCTACCAAGCAAGAAAAGAGAAAGAAGCCTTTAAAAATGAAAAATTGTTTACTTCCTGTTTTTAAGTTGCAAATGCTACGTGTCTGTGAAGCTGCAAGTCACAATGTGTTTCACTGCTGGACTACAATAACTTTTACAGGTAGCAAATAAAAGTGATACAATGCCATTACTCACCTTTCCTATCTTTATGCAGGAATTAATAGTATCTAGGAAATCAGCTTTTTTTTCATTTATAGGCACTTCTGTTAATTCCTTTTCTATTAGTTCACCTATTTGATAGCCCATCATTGTTTCAAAAGCAGGATTGACGTACTGTGAGATAAAAACAAACAAACAAATACCCGTTCAACAGTATACTTCAAGCACAAGAGAATGCCTTGTTTTGCTTGCTTAACCCGAAGATCTCTTTCCCAGCCTGAAAAAATGTCTGCATGTACTATTCCTGAGAGAGATGCTCACATTTTTTCTTTGTGAAGCAAACCAGGAATTTCCATGCTAGAATAGTTGTGCAGAGTGTGTGCATGTCAGCAAAGAGAGGGAAATTATACAAACAGCTGAGAATCACATATCCACAGAAAACAAATTCCTGAAAAACAGGCTCTGTCAGTTCCCAAACCAATAAACCTCAAACCTGCCTCAGTGTTCCTAAAAATCACAAACTGGATGTTGGAATACCATCCATAATTATTGGCAAATTCATCATCTTATTCAGTGTAAGGGCCAACCATCCCTATCCCCTGTCCAGGCACAGCCCAGCCGAGCAGAGTGGAAGCAGTGGGATTTAATAAAGCAGGCTTTTCCCTGAAGTGAATGTTGCATTTCACTGCAGTTTTTGGCCCTTGCCCAATAAAGCTGAAGACTGGTACAGCAGCCCACCCTTTCCTGGCCTCTCATTGCTGAGTCACAAGCACAGTCCTGGCAAAGCAGCATCTGAAAGCCTTTAAAACTTACAATGTTTTCATATGAGAGAAAGGAAAAGGTGCCACTCTACTTCTAATGGTTCTCCTCTAAAAGCTCCTTCCCAGAGGAACTCTTCCCTGTGCCTGCTGGAGCTCCAAGACTCCTGCAAGTGTCACTTCTCTCATACTCTGGGGCTGTCAGCAGAGGGACAAAGTTTGGTCTGAAAAAAGTGTATTTAAAACAACTTCAGGATGTGTTCTGTTATTTTTGTAAAAGGGATGAAGAAGGCACATCGTTCAATGAAGTTGCCAGGCTCAATAAAGTAAAATTTGTATGCATAATTCCCAGAGGCTCAGACTCAAGCTCTTTACTGATAATAAAATCACTTGTCACTGCTTCATGGCTAGGGATGGAACTAACTCCTTTAAAAAGATGATGGTTTGCAGAACTGCAAAACCAAGCACAATTTCTTTTCCCTGCTTTATAGAAATTTCTAAGAGAGGATTACATTCAAAAACAGTTGGCCCAAAAATTCTGATACGTCAAACAGTATCAGATTTTAGGAAAAAAAAAAAAAGTACAATTATTTAGATAGAACATCCATTAGATTTTAAAGAGCATCAAATTAACACAAAATATTTTTGGAAAAGAATGCCCATAAGCCAGTGGCTGCATTCATTCTTGATACAGAGAAGGAATGAATAATAGAGATGAGGAATCAATACAAAAAATAGAAACAAGAGAATAAAAAAAATAGAAACAAGAGAATAAATCTTTATTCACTGAGAAACAACAATCTCCCTTAGAATTTATTTGACTTATGCCAGACACTTTAAATGGAGAAAATTCTACTCGACAGCTAAACTCACTTCAATCTTTTAGAACCATTAAGTTAGATTAGATTCTTGTGCTGTAAGAAAGGGTAAGTGCAATCATAGAAGAAATAAAACACAGAGGAATTTTCTATACTTATGACTGGAACAAACCTGTATTACATGGTCTTCACTTGTGATCTCAATGGCTTCTTGACTTTTCTCTAATGCTGTAAATAATGAATTACATGCCCTGGAGAAAAAAGAAAAAGGCATCCAAAAATTTTATCCACTTAATTCTTATATATGATAATAAAGCATTACAACTCCATACTGTATAATGTAGTCTAACAATTAATGTATTTTCTTCAGGTAACTGACATTCTATAATTAACTACTGCAGATTAAAATAAACACTCTATTAAGGATCTGGCAAAATTGAAAATTCTGTGTTGATAATGTTTTTGGTAAAATTACCTTAGCTTGAATTGTGCCTGCACCTGTCCAAACTCCAGCTGAATCAACTCATTGTAGCAGGCCATTCTACTAGAATTTTCTACATATCTCTGCAAATAAAAGGTTAGAAATATTTCATTAATACACCTTCCTGTCTGTAAGGATTTGAAGCTCTGATTTCTTTTGCTTGCTAAAGAAACAGAAAAGGAGTAGATATGCCAAAAATGAACATGCTGGGACACAAGCAATGAGAGATTATTTTTTGGTACTAGCAAAACTTTTCAAGTTACTCCATTTTAAAAAGGTGACAGATCCTCATGGCAATGAGGTTTAATCAACCTGTTTATTCTCTGTGATTGTCAGCAGGATCAATGTATTTTTTAAAAAAATCTACTTTTAGCTTTCTTAAATAACAGCGAAAAAAATCTTATGTCTCAAGTAGTTAAAATTTGAAATTATTATGAGTTTCCAATTCCTAATATCTCAAATTGTCTATATAGATGAAAATAAAATTTCCTGTGAAATATACCTGTATTGACCTTGAGGTTTTTATAGCAATGATCTCAGTATCTTTCACTTTTTAAAAAGCATTTCATATTTACCAGGTATGAGCTTGAATGTTAAATCTTTGTTCACACTAAACTCCCACAGACATGGATGACTTGAACATTTTGGGCAGGACAATGCATTATCACAGGTAAGCCACCACAATCTAAGCTGCTAAACAAAATTTTCTATGTTCTGCCATTAGCCCTATTTCCAAGGCTCTGATCCATAAATAATTCAGAATCTGTGCTGAATTACTTATGTGCCCTCTGGAATGACTATTTTCATACAAATGCCATTATCTTTAAGCTGTAGCATTTCCTGGATCAGGATCATACTAGAATTAAGCAGATGGGCGCAAATGGAATGTGATGGAACAGCAAAAATCTGGTGAGCACGCAACCAAATATTTGGAGTTGTGCTGTAAATCAGGCCCAACCTTTTTCTAGTGTCAGCTGAAGGCAATAAGGTACCCACTTAACTGATGCACTAATTAGCACCTTTTCTGCTCAGCTGGAACAGTTGCCAAGGAACAGATTCAATGCAATTCTTCTCAGGTGCCTCCAAACAATAGCTAATAGCACTTGACAGTGTGTGAAGCCTGTTTACAATGGGAATTGGCATTTGATAGAAGAAATTTCCCACAGCACATTCTGTTGCTCATTGCAAGCTGCTCTCTGACTCTGCCACTAATCAATTTGTCAATGTCAGCTTTCCAAGGAAAGGATCATGTATTTAATCTGAAATAAATGTATGAAGTAGAGAAGTCTCAGTCCCACTTCTTACATCCCCAAGAGTGTCATGTCAACGTTCAGAATTGGGACACAGAAGAATGAGCAGCACAAAAAACATCTACAGGTTGGATCTCTGACACAAATGGTGACTGACAGCCAAACTTCTGGAGAGCTTCTTGCATGACAATTTGGAAATGTCAGAGCAAGGCAGCCGAGTATAGCACATACCCTTGTGAAGCCAGCAGAGATCAGGGGCAATATTGATGACTCCTCACGATCAGTGTGCCTTTGAAATAAGGAGGATAAGTCAGAGATTTTGTAATTAACTCAGACCAAATTTCACAATCCATTCATCTACTTGTACCCCAGATGTCACACTGAGGCTAATACTGCTAGATCCTTACAGGATATAGGAATAAAACATATTTTTTGTTTTATTTTAATTTTTAATAAGCTTTCATCTTTGGCATGGATAAGCCAAAATGTTATTTTCCTTCATGCATGTAATGAGCTGCTTACATCAAAAAAGCTCTAATGCTTCAAGGAAACCAATTAATGAGCTAGATAATTGGACGTTTTCTGTACTGGATCCTTGTTGTTTATGCTGGCATTAGTCAGAAATGCACCTGAAAGTCTGCACAGCCAAAGTTTTAAGAAATTACTTGTTATCTGAATGTACCAAATCTTAGATGAGCAGCTCCAGGTGCCTGAATGAAGATGGATTTTCTAGTGTTGCCTACCCACTACCTTCTAGTAAGTCACATTTGGGACACATTCCCAAATGAAATATCTGAATAATCTGGCTATGCTAACTGTGAAAAGACCCTTCAACACACATAAATGCATGGCTGGAGTCAAGAAGAAAGGCCATTATGGGAAGTTTCTGTCAATAAGCAGATTGAAGTTGGTCATGTTTAGGAGATGGCACAATACCTTTTATTTATGCAGGAAGTTTTGGATCTTGGAATGTTTAATTAGAGACGGTAGAGATGGTAGTGTATTTTTAATGGTAAATTTCAATGCCTCAGAATTGTTGGCAGAATTAATGTGTTCTGAGAAATGGCCATTCCCAAATTATACTTGGAGAAAATTATCTTCCAGTTATTTCATTTCATTAAATACATAGAATTTCTTTATTTTGTACTTTTACACATTTTGTACATTATTTTATAAGTAATGTTTTCAAAGGAGGGGGAAGGAGATAGCACATATAGTACTTTACTGAGATGTGATAATCTCTTTGGCTTTTAGAACTGCTGTGGTCAGATGACAATTTGTACTGATCGAATTGTTCTATATCACTTTTCATACTCAGCAGATCTCTGATTTTCACTGAGATTAATAATATTGAAAGGCAGATTAAGAAAGGGTCAGATCTACAAGACAGTTTTGTACAGGATATTTCAGAAGTTGTTTGAAACACACTCTGAAAGCCTGCAGTGATGGTGGGGGAGTGCAAGGAGGAACCCAAAACAAAACTCAAAGTGAGAGTCTTGAGTAAAAAAACCCAGAAATTAAAAAAACAATTTCTGTCCCAATCCTATAATCCTGAAGTATAGTAAAAACTCTGGTACAGCACATTATTATTAGCACAGTAGGAACTTCTAATTCAGGTTTTTTATTTTAATGGTTTTCAGGTTTACTTTTACAATGGTAAGATTCATAGTTTTGATCACAGATGAAAGGAAAGATATGAGTACTTACCTTTGTACTACACAAATAATGACTGTATTTTCTGAGGCTTTTGTTGTTCTGATAGACCTTTAAATAAAAAGCAAACCATTTAAATTCTTTTTAAGTTCACATTTCAGAAAACGTGACTTTAAAGAAACTTCAGATAGACTTTTCTTAAAATCTTTTAAATCATTTAACAACAAAACAAAAGTCAGATCCTGAGCCTGTTGCTGGGAAAGGAGAATAAATTATATCTGAGACTCCATGAACATAGATTAATCTACAGCTCAAGTACTCTCAGTGGGGGAATAGCAAAAAATATTCTCTCTGAAACAGCATATAATGGATTTGTTTTAAGGGCTCGGCCTCACTCATTTAAGGTGCATTTTACTGAATTTTGGGACAGATTGGTAAAGATGGAACACGAGGAACAGCACTGCTTCCTAGTCTTGGCCTGACAAAGATCTTATCTACTCGCCTCAGTCCAGCAAGAAGAGCCTTTTCCCCAGCACAGTCCCCCAGGGCACACAGTCTGACCCTGGCACCCCATCCCACAGCCTTGGTCAGTCTGGACACGTTCCCAGGGCGACTTCACTGCCAAGGCTCTGGAGCAAGGCACTGCTGCCTGCCCAGGCTCTGTGGAGACACTCAAAGGCAAATCCTTCCCTCCTTTTTTCACACTTCACAGTGGCTTCTAAAATTTTGGAATCTGTTTGAAATTTTGCTCTTCATAACGTATTTCCAAATGTTGTAGATATGAAAACATGCACACCAAACACTGCCTGTTATCACTGGGAGTTATTCAAGAGGAAGTGACATTCCAAAAAAATTAGAACATTCATGAAGTGAATGAATTAATAAAGGTGCTTGGTGGCACATGCTATCTTTGCAGTTGATTTAGTGTGAAAACAAAGAACCAGGTATTTGGGGAAAAAAAAAACCCAAACAACAAAAGAAAACAAAAAAAAATACCCAACATTGCACTATGGCAACAAATTTGTACACTGTGGCTCCAAGCCAGATGGAGCTTCAGACACAACCAAAAACGCTGCTGCTATCAGATGTAAAGCACTGAAGTAAAGTATTTGATACTGCCAGTGCACACCTGTCTAAAACTAAAAAAATCGATGCTCTATAGAGTTTATAAAAACATTATATAAAAGCAAAAAAACTTTGATGCTGTGTAAACTACATTGTTAAGCATTAATTACACTGAAACGGTGCTTACCTGCATAATGCTTCTGCATCAAAGTATCTGGAATGTCTATGGTCAATGATGATAATGTCATGGTGCTTATCTAGAAAGCATTCTAGTGCAGACTGAGGTGTCCTGGCAAGATTGCACCGAAATCCAGCCTTGTCACACGCCCAGCGGAACCCGTTACTCTGCTCGTCTTCCTCAGCAAACACTAAAAGTACCTGGGGTGGAGACAGGCAGTGGGGCATCACAAACAAGTCTTACACTTACAGTAGATTCTGTGACTTTGTCCTGTTCTTAACATGGTTTTTAAAGCCACTTTTGAGGCTTAATCCCTTGTTTTTAAGAGAATTGCTTTCTACGGCCCACTGTTTTTTTATAGTTTCTGTATACAGAGGTGTTTCAAGAGGGTTAAACAGTCTGCCAGAGCCATGGCACATCCACACGGAACAAGTTTTGGAACTGTCCCTCTTGTCATTTGCTACAGAGAGAGCTTAGGCAATCAGCTTAGGCAATCAGAGTGCTCTACGACTGGACAAAATGCCTGTATTTCAGAGAGTGTACATGAACCAACAGTGAGTCCACTTCTCTGAAACAGTCTCACATTCAGCCTTTTTCTCGGGGTTTATTTTTCTTGCCAGGATCATACTCCAGGAGAGGGGGAAAAAAATAAAACCACCACAACAACAACAACAAAACTCTACAGTTCATCTTGTGTGAATCGGTATTTAATGCTGCTTCAATGGCATGACAAAAAGACTGCTGTCCTTTCCATCTCATCCTAATTCCCCAAAGTATTGGATGCTGCCCACTCCTTGGGATTTCTGGAAATTCTGGACGGGCTGGTCAAAAGGAACTCAGGCCAGACTGAACTCATAAGCAGTACCACTGTATATGGAGTATGTCCCTGTATGACTCCTACACAAAGCCTGCCATGGGATTTATATGACAGAATGAGATTATCATAGCTGCAATCCAGAACTGGAGGTCAGACCTGTGAGCCACTATTTGCTCTGTCCTAACTTGCCATGTAATTGCCAGTAACTAATCTCTCTAAGCCTTTTTAAATCAACACAATGCCTATAGACTAAAAGTATGATAAGGCCCAATTCCTTTAAGATTTATTTCCAGATCTAGGATTTAATACAGCAAAGAAGATGAACAAAGTCTGCTGAGGAAGACTCACTGATGTAATCGTGCTTTGTGTCAGGATAATGTTTGCTGAAGAGAACTTCTCTTGCCTGAAAGAATACAGCATGGCAGACTATCGATCTGTGTTGATTTTGGGGATGGCTCAGCACATGCAGCCTTTTGGGAGAGATGGGTAACTAAGCCAGTATTTGGTCTATTGTCCCAAAACACCAATCTTTCAGAATTTGAATCAAACCACACTCAGATATGTTCTGGTCAGGCAAAGTGAAGCATGTGTAACTCACATCACATCCCACTGCTGTTTATCTTCCGTGTGATTTTAGGAACTCCAGTGCAGTTACACTTTGGACCAGGCTGGTGAAATGTCTACCAGTAAATCTTAACATTTCCATGTACTGCATATTTTTGTAAGAATGAAGGATTTTGCACACATTCAGTTCAGGTTCCTTTTATAGCAACCTGCAAAACTGTTTGCAAAAAACATGTCATAGTCTGGGCTGTGTTTAGTGAAGTTAATCTGTAACACTCCTTAAGAGGGGAAGAATGGGTTTCAACAACAGGACAGAGTCAGGAGATCTGAGTTGTATGATCGACTCTGGTAGGTGATGTTGCCTACCTTCTCCTTCCCTCACACCTGCCAGCTATATTAACAGGATAAATCAGTTGCATTTCAGAGTGCTCTACGACTGGACAAAAGTGATACAATCATTAAAAACAATACAGGTGGCAGAAATACTCAAGAACTATTCTGATTTTGGGGATGGATAAGGATGTCCTAAGATCTGATTTTTCATGATACTACTCTTCTGACAATGGCTCAAGAAGAAGATGTTAAACTGCAGCTCTTAAGACAGATATTTTCAAATTATTAGGTTCACATTGCTGAGGAGTTTTGCAATTACTGACAGAGGAACATCTTGGATGATTAATGGTTCTGTATGCCCTGGACTATGGGAGAATTTCCAAAGGAAGTCCAAAGGAATCATATATCTCTAAACCTCATGTCCATCCCAGGCAAAGTGTGGGGGGAAAGGACATAAACCATTTATTAATAAAGGGATAAAAGAGGATTAATTATTGTCAGTCAGTAATGAACAATTAAAAATATATATTTTGCACTTCATATCTTTTGTAATAATATTGCAAGTTTGATTGGCTTGGTATCAGTTTGATGAGATTTTGACTAAGACCAGTAAAATTACTACAATTTTGATTACTACCAGTAAAATACAAAATGAGGCACAAACTGAATTGATTACAAGGTAACTGATAGCAGAAAAAATAGATAGCTCTATTTTTATGAGCTGAGAGATGGTTGGAGAAAACAGACAGGGGTTTTAGGATATCACATAGATAGAATGTCATTATAAAAATCTATTATGTGCACATTATCTCTTCAGCAAAATTCTCTGTGAAGATTTCTATAATCCAAAAAATTCCAGTCATAAATTTTAAGCTAACATCTGTGATATTTTAGAAATCAAGACTTCAGTTTGAACTTCTGTGTTACCTGAAGTTGATCTTGATGAAGTCTCATAGGGCCAAACTGCACATCTGTTACTGGTGCCTAGAAGAAATAAGAAGGGAACTTATTAATGAATAATACCTAAGGAAGAAGAAAAATTATCTCTGTTACCTCTTTTATCTACCATTGTCTGAGAGATATATTGCTATCATTACGAGGCTGCATCTTCATCTTATTCTGGTTTTGTACATTTATATGCTAAGCTGCAATAACAGTTAGAAATAACAAGCTAGTCTTCAAGTAATTTTTTATTGTTATTTTAAATGCAAACTAACAGATTAGACATGAAAGTCTCAGAGACAGATTGTTATTTTTCTGTATCCTCTGTATCACTCCAGCTGTTCTGCAAAACATGGAAGTGTTTAAAAACTGCTTCTTTTAAAGTCCAAAAAAGCATTAAAGCTCCAGGAGAAATGCAAAAATACATAATTTTTCTTTTAGAAGTTCAAATGTAACAGGTGCCCAAGGTTGCTACAGAAACACACTGATTTCATTTCTCCAGGAGCATTTTGCTGCATTCCCTGCTGCCCACCCAACCCCTCCAGGGAAGGCTGCAGAACTCAGCAATGTGTTGGGATGAAGCATGTATTCTGCATGCAGCTTTGTTTGAAAAACCCTGCAAAAACACTACCATACACCATGCTTTTGACATCTCAGTGATTCCCACATCAGGCTCTGCTCAGGTACCACAGCTCAGGATGCAGGAACTCGTTGGTCACCCACGCACGGGCAGGTGATTAAAAGGGCAGCGCGGTGACCCGGAGTGGGCACGGCAGCTCTGCAGGCAGAGTTAAGGGTTTCCTCCTGCTAGTGGGGTTTTCAGTTTGTTGTTTGTTCTGATTTGGTTGGTTTGGTTTTGTTAGCAATGGTTTTTGCACGATCAAAAGCTGCAGTTAGTACAAGTGTGTATGTAGCCAAACAACCCCCAGAAAGGATGTGTGTGTCCAGACCCATTCCTGGGTGGAGTGTTTCAGCTATCAGTGGTTCCAGAGGGAGTTACAGAAGATGCCTGCCTGCAGTGTGAGCAGGTGAATGATCTTTTGCTGGTGGCCGAGCTCAGGAAGGAAGTAGAAAGACTAAGGAGTATTAGGGGAAGTGAAAGGCAAATAAACTGGTGAAGTCTATTTCCCAGCCTGGTGGGAAAGGGAAATAGACTGGTGGAGCCTGGATGGGCAATGAAGTTTTGAAGGAACTTAGGAATAAAAAGAGGATGATCATCTTTGGAAAGAGGGTCAGGTCTCTCAGGAAGTATTTAAGGGGGTTGCTAGGGTATGTAGGAAAAAATTTGCAGAGGCCAAAGCCCAGTTTGAACCTAATTTGGCAACTTTTGTAAAGGATAATAAAAAATGTTTTTACAAATATATTAATGGCAAAAGGAAGGGTAAGACCAACCTTTGCTCTCTACAGTCCCTGCAGGTGAGGAGAAGGCAGAGGTGCTTAACACCTTCTTTGCCTCAGTCTTTAGTGGGAAGATGGCTTGTCCTCAGGACAACTGCCCTCCTGGGTTGTTTTTATGTTCTTTGGACTTGATGATCTTGAAGGTCACTTCCAGCCTAGTGATTCTGTGTAACTCAGCCAGGATCCTTCCCCCTCACTTGTCCCTCCGTGGGAAGGAGGGCAAAGACCACAATGCTGTTTATCACAACTGCTTCTCTTTTGTATCATTAATCAAACTTCAACATGAATGACTCTTCCACTCGTATACGACTACTTCTAAAGGAGTTAAACACATAAATACAGAGGGACACTCCAGTAGGATTACACAGGCTTGGTTCTCTGAGAATTCTCACCAGGCAAGCATCAGCACTTTCAAGGTACTTCAGAAATAAAAGTTAAAAAGCAGGAATAAAAATGTTTCCTATCTTGAATGGGGAACAAAGTCCAACCATTGGTCCTTGGAGTCACATAGACTCTTCAAAGTAACCGGAGTTAAGAAATCAGAAGAAAATAGTCTTTGGCAATGCAGTAAATGTGAGACATCTGAGCACAAAGGTGGCATTTTTACATTGTTCTTTTTCAAAATTAAAACCCACTTGAAGATCAGATTTATTGCTTTGCAACCTATAAGTTTTCCCATAAGTAGTTTCAAAGAATCATCAGCACATCCCACAGAAAAATCTTTTAGAAGTGCATGCTCCACTCTTTCCATGACCTTAATGCTCCATTGCTCAGCCCTAAGAGTATGTCATTTGTGATTTTATTTATTTATCAACTTGGAAGTCATCACTGCAACATTAAATAAGCAACAAACATGAGTCAAGGCAAAATGGCAACACAATGCCTATAAAAGCATGCCAGGAACCAGTGTTTGCCTGTCTTGCTTAAGTGGGCCTTTAAGAGCTGATGGTAAAATGACATGGAGGGATTTCAGATTTATTCAGTCATTGTGGTCAGATCAGCTTAGTTTAAAAACACTCCAGTAATTTATTTTTTTTCTGATCTTGAGACCAAAAATCTCTCTTCAGATGGAAAACTCAAGCTGCTTTACTCTCCCCTGTGGTATATCATCCAATTATTCAAAATCTGCACTACAAAACAGCAAAGACTTTTGCTGATAGCACACATAACAGGGGAGAATCCAGCTCTTTGCACCAGTGTTTCTGGTTTTGCAGCACTAACAGGAGTAACTATCCATCCTGAATCAGTAAGATCAGCAGAAATGCCTGAAGGACACGGAGAGAGCATGTCATTTGAGCAAAAGATACCTAAAAGATGCCTTTTTACAGTTGCTCCTCTGTCCAGAGGTGTACTTAAAATCAAACCTTTGACTTTTGTTCACTCTACCTGTCAGCATAAAACAGTGAGTGTCCCGTGTCACCGGGCAATGCCTGAGCTGGAAGGTTCAGATCCAGAGCTGAACTTCACTGGCATCTGGGAGGATGCAGAACCCCACCTACCCTGCCAGTGTACCCCTGGACTATCAGTCCCAGCCCAAGGGGAATTTTAACAAATGAGATAAACACAGTATTGCCAGTTATTGCTTTTCAGATGCTCCTTTCTTTTAAGAAGTTTGTGAACGAATAGTGATTGAAGTATTTAAAGGACTGAGCCTGAAAATCACTTTTTTTGCCAGAAATCTGTGGCTATTGCTGCAATGAAAATACCTGTCTATGCACCATTTACGCCTAAGTCACAAGAAGTGTCCAGATGAGATAACCTGTCTTGTTACACATTAACTTGCTGTCCTGAGTAGAATCAAAGCCTTTGTCTGCATCTCAGCTGGAAAATTTTGGTGAACTCCAGTTAATTCTTAATCCTGTTGAAATCTGCTCAAACAACTTGATTAATCATTTAAACTTTCTGTGTGCTGCAGGTAGCCCTGAGAAGTAACATGCCAATTAAGTATTGTGTCAAAAATCAAGGCTTCAGCAAGGATTAGCAGAAACTCTCAACTACTGCTGAACTAAATGAGCTTTTAAAATACCTCTAATGCTGCAAACTTTTAACAAAATCAAACACAGCCAAAGCTCACACGTATAGTAACTGCACAAGCACATCTTTATTCACTCACACCTTCTTCTACTTCTTCCTTGGAATTTCTTTCCTGGTTGAAAAGCTTGAGTACATTTTCAGATTGGCAGACACGACTTAGGCATGTGACAGCCTTCCAGGCAGGCACAGATTGGGAAGAGTGTCTGAGGAGACAGAGGTAGAACTGGTTGTGGGTTCCTGGAATTGATGTGAGAGAGCTGGGTCTGTTGCCAAAGAGCTGCTGACGCAGAGTCCGTAAGCGCAGCGCGTGTGCCTGCGGCTCCTCAAACACACACACAGCAACTGCAGCCATTTCACGTTCTCCGACCCCTGAACCACTGCTGGTAGCACTTATTTCCCCTCAAATTTGCCTTTCTTATTTGAACACTGCATTTTTTTGTCCTGTGGAACCAGCCCTGCCTCTGGCACGAAGTGGGATTCATCGCAAGGCAATAGCACAAGCTGTAAATGATTGACAGCTGTCAACAGGGAAGGTCATCCACTGACTGCTGTCAGCAGCTCAACGCTCACCAGAAATGATCTCTGTGTTGTAGAAGATGCATTGCAAACATTGAAATTGCTGATAGAAATAGTCCATGTTTCCAATGCCCTGAGAAAAGTGAGTATTGGGTAAATAAAAACAAGTGAAATAAGCTTTAAAAACACAGACCTACACAACTGTGACTGATCAGATTAAAGTACAACACAGGCAGCGTTGGCCCGATGTAACCTGGTAAAGTACTTCTTTCTATGAGTCATTCTTCATATTTTACCAGAACAGAATCTACAGGAATAGTCTGTTCATCACTGCTGGATTGTTTTTTTTTCTCTCTTCCTACTGCTAGAAAAACTTCAGATGCACTTGCTCAATGAATAAATACAGAAAGGAATAAAGGGTGGACATAAAGCCATCTTGATTCACATGCTCCCTTTGGGGATAAATTGCCTGGCTGGTGACAGGGACAGATCTATGCACCCCATAGGTCTCCTGTTTTCTAGAAGTGGTGTACTCTGGCATTCTCCAAAATATCTCTTACCATTACCCATTAAAGAGGAGAACACACCTAAAATTCTGGGCAGAACCAGCTCCTAAAAAATCCTTTGGCTACTAACCTTCATGCAATACTCCTGCTATGGAGGTGCAAATGCATTCCTTCTGGAGGCTGATTTTCTTAGGAGACCTCTTTGCCGAAGTTTTTGCAGATGTTTTAAAGCAGAGCCCTGTGCATTCCAAAGCAACACTCAGCACTGCCCACCCATGGAAGGTGGTGGAGGGGAGCTGCTGGTGCCTGGGGCATCAGGAATGCTCCTTTGACATCCACAGTGCTCCATCCCTTCCTTTCTGCCACAGCAGCAGCTGTGCTGGTGACAGGAATGGCTCCTGCTCCGGCCATTCCTTGCACAGCCCTGGCCTCCTGACAGCACCTCTCCCCGGGGCAGCACTTCTGCTCCTGCTGCTCCTCTCTCCTCTGCAACGTGAGCACAGCTGCTTTCTCCTGCAGCTCACTGGAACAAAGAGGTGCCATGAACTTCTGCTGAATGGATTGCAGGTGGAAGCTGCTGCTGGAGGG